GACCAGCATCGGGCCCCGCATCAGCACCTAGCAAGACATGGCGCAACACATGGAGCTGCGTCTGTGTTATTTTGTGTGTGGGGATGGTAAATACAGGGGTTCAAAGGATGGCAATACATGGAGCTACCTATGTTGCTTTTTCGGGGTGGGGGGATGGACGGTTCAAAGGGAGTTCATCTGGCTGATATACATGAGATGCCCTAAATATTGCAAGAGGGGAACCAAGGAAACCCACTGGAATTCCCATGGTTTGTGGTTGGTTTACATGCAATAGGGCATCCTCCGTATGGGGTTTGGGGTGGGTGTCGGTTTTTGAGCCTCTCTACCCAAAGAAACCAAGAGGAAACCGCCCATTTGGCGCGCGTCCTCCATTGTGAGACGTACAAACTCTTTGGGCAAGTGAGTGATAGATGCGCTTAGAAAGGAAGCCCGCAGTCTGGGTATTTTGGAAGCTCGAAGATGACGCAAAGCAAAGATTCGCAAACAGGTCATGTCATGGAAGCCTTAACCCTCATCTACGGGTCGGTTCAGGTAGGCTACCCAAGTCAGTCGATTCAAGGGCTTTTCCAGGAATTGGTTTTGGAGGTATGGAGGGTATGTACACTGCGTTACAAGCATATATTGGTGCTATTACAAGAATTCATATCTCCAAAACCTACCTCAAAATGCCTGTGATAGATCGAGGCAGGGAACCTCTTCCCTGCTTGAGCTGTCCTACTGCAAAGGATCTGGATCCCCTAAAAAGGGGCCTCTATTCATCAGGAGTTTATTCATCTGGTGTTCACATGACTTGCCCAGCAAACCCCTGGGCACACTCGGAGCGCGACACTTAGAGTTGCTAGTGTGCAGCAAATTCGAAACAACTAGCGAAGTGGCCCACCAACTGTCGATGGGACAAATCCAGCACCAGTTGGGATGGATGAAAGCCCGTGAGAAACCAGCTATCAACCGGTGCCGATCGGTGCGGATTTGGCAACCATCAACAGTCCTCTCGCTTCGCTTCGCGAGAGACCGGCTCGGTCCAAAACCAACGCGCCTTGTGTCGCAGGAAGACTAAGACCTGCACCGCCTGCAGGTCTCAGCACGCGCAACCCAAAAGAAGGCTGGTCATAGGGTGCTTCAAAATGGGGGGGGCCTTGTCTTTTAGGACTTGGACCTTGGGGTGGCAACGATTTCTTCAAAACCAAGCTAAGTCATGATCATAGTCTAGCACTGTGTAGTGAGTTAGCCCATCAAATTACCCAAAAACTACCCTCCCCAAGCAAAAGTCAGGATCATATGGAATCTGACGGATCATGTGTGTGTGTGTGTTTTTTTTGGTGCGATTGCAATGCAACTCATTGGTTTAGATGGCTTAACTTTGGGCTCGTTGCGATTTGTACTTGAGACCATCGCAGAATAGGTCAGTACAGCTTTCACAGGCTTTGCCAGGTTCCCCCGTTTGGGTCCCAACCACTCCCCGCACGGGTGGCTCGCCTGTCTTGCGGGTGCCCCTTTTTCGTGGAGTTAAGGAGACACCAAAAGGAAAACCGAAGCCATTTCGGGGTCCCCTATAACAGACCCCCCCACCTTTTTTCTGGCCACAAGTTCTGCACTATGGCAATTCGGCTGTTCGATTTGCAAGCCAGTCACCTTGGCTTTTGCTGGGACTAGTCCGATCCCATGAGACACATTTGGTTGCCTCTCCGAGCATTTGGTTTCCATTCCCCTTCCTTGCCCTCGCTTCGGGTCCATGAGTGTTGCTCAGATTCGAATCCCCTTTTTGTTTGGACATCAACAGGAAGCCCGTTGCGTTTGCCTTATGGAAATCCACCTATTCCAAGCAAAGGCGGTGCTTTTTGTGAATACTGGAAGTACCCACAAACCCATTCTACCTAGCTGGGCCTTGTAGCAACGAGCACAACCCCATACCATGGTTACAACCTGTACAAACCAAATGGCAACAAGCATCAATTAGCCAGTTACCCAGTTGCCTACAACCCCCACTTACCCAAGTTGCAACCATCATCAGAAGCTGTCATTAAAGCCCAGACAGATTCCATGTTAGTGGGGGTACCCTGATCCGTGGTGGTCCAAAAATCCTGTCACAAGGGTACACAGATCCGCGGAAAGGATTGCAAAGGAGCCCTGACGCAAGTAGCTGCAGTTCTGGTTTAGTCGTTCTCTGGAGGTTCGGCGCAACCCTGCTCCTGGTTCCTTGGACAAAAACCCACCAAGTGTTTTTTTGCAGATGAACCTTGCCACTGTAGACCCAAGCCTCAGGCCTCTGTTGCACCCAGACCCAGCCCCCCAGCCCAGCCCCCAGCCCGCCGGCATCGCCAGCAGCTGGGAGTCGGCCGCCTCTTCCAGCGCAAGCTGCGCCTGGCCAAGGCCGGTTGCGAGTCCGCGAGCCGCGCACCTAAGAGAAGCCATGGTTGAAGCCATTGTTGGTCGGTTTTTGCGGGGGAATCAACTCATTACAGGGTTCCTTAGCTGTGGTGCAGGAGTCCGTCCATCCTCAGCATGAAATCCTTTTTTGGGGGGGTGGTTTTGAAAGGAAAACCCAAAGGCAAAGCTGCTGATTTCCCTCACAAGACAAGCCATCTGACGCGTGGCTTTAGACCAATGAAGCCCTTCAGCCTGGAGAATCCTCTGAGCTCATGGAACCCCATGCGCAAAGGAAAATAAGACTTTGTGCTATCTGCAAACAAAAATACGAAGCCAGAAAATAACTTTTAGATGGTTTTGCTCATTCATAAACCCTAAACTGTAAACCCTAAACCCTAAGCCCTAAAACAGTCCTAAAACTCCACAATGGCGGATTGGATTGGTTTGGAGGTGTTCTGGGGGCCCGTTTACCCTCTCAAGCGCCGATTCGAATCCCATTCCGTAGCGATTCGACAGCCCGCCCTTTTTCGGTCCAATGGAGAAGCTACTCGGTTTGTTTGGACCAAGTCTTGGACCATGGTTCTCCATTGTCGGATAGAAGGGTCCATGGTCCAATTTTTTTCGGTCCCTTCTCGGTTTAAAAATCGCTTTGTGGCCATGAAGGTCACAACGACCAGCCATGCGCATGGACCGAAGCCAAGGATGGGTCCATGAGGCAAGGACGCAGGCCCCGCAAGCTGTGGTCTGGTTGCAGCCCGCATGGCCTCTGGAAAAAGCAGATGGGAACGAAGGATTGCACTATGCAAATGGACTTGACCCTTGACACGTCAAGAGACTCGGGTCGCCCTGCTGGTTCAGGGATGAGGCTGAACAAACAGATTGAGGTTCTAGCCCCCCCCCAACAAAAGAAAGATAAAAACATCAACAAGAAGAAGAAAGACAACAAAAGGATGCTACCAGTTTGAAAGCGTGCTCTGGTCATATCCGTCCATGACTAAACCACTCCAGTCACAATTGCAAACCACCGCAATCGGCGTGCACCACTGGCCAGCATGACATCATAACATCCTTGCCAGCGTCATTGGATGAGAAAACGCAGGTAACGTTGCTTGCATGCATCCTACCCTTGCACCCAACTCGAAGGTAGCACAAGATCGCCTAAAGTGGACAAGAGTTGTTTGCGTTTTCCTTGTGATTTTCCTGGAAACATATAGGGTCTGTGTTTTTTCTGGCTATAATATACCCTTTTTGGGGGGTTGGTTCAAAGGAAAGCCAAAGCAACCCCCCCCCATTTCGACATACCCATATATCTGAGAAGGGGGAGCTCAAGATCTCGAGCTCCATCGAGAAAAAGGCAACCAACATCATTCAAAAGTGACCAATCCCTTCCAGGATGGAGGTGGATGGCGGATTTCCCTTGTCGGTCATGAAACCAGACTTGGGGAATTTCCACAAGCACAAATCGATTTTGGGATTCAAACCAACTGACAAAAAGGGATCTCCAAGTAAAGGACCTACATCACGAGCTCGTGTTACGCCAGAATCGATCAGCTCAGAACCCGTACAATAGGCAGCGTCCCGAGGCTACGCTCGAGCCTCTTGGTAGCCAGGGTTGTCCTGCGGCTATGGCTGACCACCTCTGATGGGTAGAATACCATATCATATATGTCCTTTTTGGAAAATAGATGGATTTCCCTGGTAGATGATTGAACCACCAGGTAAACTAGGCCCCTTTTCGTTAAACCAAACCAACCAAAAAGGACACCTATGACTACCGTGCAGTACCCGGAGTCCCAGAAAGTTCCTGGGATGATTGATCCGGAGTCGAGCCCATCGCCTCTACGTCTCTCAGCCCAGTTGCAGCAAATCGAGACGGGGGCACGCTTTTCGCACGCAGAATGCTGAAATGCGTTCTGAGACCCCGTAGCTCACAACGGCAGTTGCCTCTAAGGTGGTTCCCACGATCTCCAAGCCGCCCAGGAAATGGGCCCCATACTATATTATTATGTCAATCCTTAGGCTAGCAGGGTATTGGAAGACTGCCATCCACTCAGGAAGGTACTTCCGTCATTCTGGACCAAGATAGTGGTTTGTAGGTAGTGGAGAAACATGTAACCTCAATATAGCTATAGACACAACATATGTAACCGCAATAGAGTTATACATGCGCACAATTGTTCCCTTGGGGTGCGGTGGCTGCCATATTTGATCTGAGTCGAGAAGATTGGCCAAACAAAGCAACCGAACTTGTTGCTTTGCCACGAAACGGAACTCAGAAAGCTGCCAACAACCAGGAAAACCCTCCTACGAATAGTAACACGGACGACCTCTGTTGTGGAATCCCAAGCGAGGTAGGTACCGGGGGGTAAGTACCTTCAACTATAGAACACCATTTGGGAGATTCAGTGAAGGCTGAGTCAGCTTCACTGGAACTGGGGGCTTGGATTGGTGGTCAGGGAATTGAACAATCTTTCAGGTAGCCCTTAGTTAGTTTGGAGCCTGGTGGTTTGTTTGGGTTGGTGTGGAGGTTGATTGCTTCCCATTTACCCTCGACCAAAACCCAGTTCAAGTTCAAACCTAAATCCAAACCAACCTGATGCAAACAAACACACAAACACGCAAACAAACCCAACAGTGTGAAAACACAGATATTCTCAAGCAAATCGAAACTGATGGGAAACGAGCCAGTTTTTTGGGATTCCCTGTTTTAAGACCAACCCAAATGGAACGGCGCCGACAAAAGAGCCCCATCCCTTGTGGTTTCCCCGGGGATCCATTTCCAAATCCGCTTCAAGCCCTGAGCATTGATTTGTTGAGAACCAAGACAGGAGTCCCTCGGTTTCGCTCGGGAAAAGCAAAACACCACAGGTCCTCCGGCAGGCCCTGCGGCAGGTAGAGCCGTGTAGCAGCGCCCATGTGGCACCAGGCGCCGTAGAAGAAAGCCATGGCGCCTGTTTTTTTTTCCTTTGGTGGCGGGGGCTCCAGATTTGGGCGCAAGAATAGGGATACGGACTCAAACATACCACATGGAAACCATGGTTGAAACCATTCTTTGTTGGTATTTACAGGGGAATCATCCGAAACCAGGGTCTCTGAGGCGGTGGGAAATGGAATTCGTCCATCCGCAGTAGGATGAGTAGGGCATTTGGACCAGATAGGGAGTGATGTAGGTGATGCAGACCTGCGAGCTCTTGGATTCAACGGCCCCATTGCTCAGTTGAATGACCCAAATTGGAGAAATTTAGGAGGTGAGGTCATGTCCACCAAGCACTTTGAGCTGGTCTTATGCGGGATTTGGATTCAGATGTGTCAACATAAGGATGACCCCAGCAGTTGGGGGATGCACAACGCTAAAAATCTGCCAGGTTATTGTATCACAAGACAACATCCCCCCAGCCAGCCTCCTTCTTCAGGATACTGTTTTCTTAGAGTTGCCTGCAAAGTCGACTTGCCTTCAAAGGGTAGGGTTCGGCGATCCAATCTCTTGCTCGGACATGTCTAAACTTTAAGCCGCTTCAACAACATCCTTTTGGGAGCCCTTGCTAGTCCAAATGGCTTGCTTGACGCAGGGGGCTGACCATCCGAAGGAACCAGGTTTGCTTGGTGACCTTGTTTGTAAGGAACCCCACACAAGTTTTGGTTGGAGGGTGCAGCTGAACAACCTTTTTGAAAGTGCTGGCATCCTCTTTGAGGGTAGGTCCCACAACCGAAGATCGACGTACACGAAGTGGTAGGTGCCTCCAAACAACTTTGTTTAAAAGATCCGGAAATACAAGGGTAACCTTTTGGAATATTGACAACCAACAGATCAAAAGGTCGATTCGCTCTGGGCAATCAAGACAACATGTCCTCCATTTGCTTAAGCCCTCTGGAACAAACAAACAACAATCAAATAATGATGGATCCCCTGATAAATTAACAGGCAAAAGTCACACATATTCTCAAGCAAATGGAATAGTTTAGTCCCAACAGTGGATGTCACGACTTGTTGCCCTTGTTTTCCCTCCCCAACCTCTTCGGCCAAGCCCCATGCAGTGAAGTGAACCCTCTTCTGGTGCCCATGGTTGTGGAAACTGTTTCGGCATGGGCCTGGACGTGTCTGTTTTTTGGGGGATCCCTCAGTGACTCAGAATGGTGATGGTGGTGTTCCTGTTGATTTCCCTTAACCCCCCCCCCCCCGGGAAAAAAAAAAAGTAACCCTTTTTTCAGACGAGCCACGCATGTACCAAACTGGCCAGTGGTTTCTCACGGGGATCGGTGCAATCACGCGCTCCAAGGCAGACTTCAACGGGCTTGCCCGCGGAGGTGACCGCGGAACTAGCCAGTCCTTTTCATAGAAGGGGGTTGCTTCAAAAGTGATCGAGTCCCTTTTTTGCTCCCAATCAACATCAACCAGGAAATCTGCTTTCTCCGGGGTTCTCATTCCCCACGCACTTGGGTGTCCAAATGGTAGGTTTCCTTTTGGTGTCCCTTCACACAGGCCCAGCAGCCCTAGCAGCCCCCGACCACCCCGGAACTCTGCCTTTGAACCCTTCCTGAAAGCTGCCCCAAACCACGCCTTATCGCTTATCTGGGCCTATCACCCCCATATCTTTCAGCTGTTGGGGAAAAAGGTACCATTACAAAAAAAGAAGAAGAAAAGAAAACTAAGTAATTCCCGGCAAACCCTCAAAAAGTAGTGGGCACGAATCACAGCGACCAGGGCTTACTTGGGCCTGTCGACCCCCACCCACATCCAAGAGGTCCGCACCCGTGAGGTGAGCCAGGGTCTGCGCGCTGAGCTGCGGCTCCAGCAGCAGCAAGCCCTGCAGCCCCACGCCGCAGGCCGCGCAGAAGCCTCCGGCTGAAGCGACCCACTGGCTTTTTTCTCGGGTTTTCCGGGGGTTTTCGGGGGAGGGGGGGGGAGGGGGCAATTCTTGGAGAACAACTGAGTTTCCGAAAAAAAAGACTGGTTTCGGACCCACAGATTCGATCTGTCTTAATTGTTTTGCTTGTGGAATTTGAGGGGGAAAGCTGGATCACAGGAATCTGTCTGGTTGTTCTGCTTCTTGATTTTGCATCTTACAGTCAGGCGCAGCTGCAGTGGCTGTATTGCCGAAAGGACTATCTTCATTTAAACACACAAGCGCTTTTGAGCGGAAATTTCGATCACAGGACTGGGTGTCCAAGGTACACAGGTTTTTGACCCACAGGTTTTTTTTTTGGGGGGGGGCAAGGCAAGGCAGTTCTTGGTCTCACTTCCGATCAAGAGCAGCCCACCATGCAACCAAACTGTTGGGTGCCAGGCGAAGCCTCGCGGAACATTGTCTTGCTGGTTCGTTCGATTGGCAGATGAGAAATGGAATGGCCCCCGACAAAAATCACATCCCAACCACGTGGTGTCCTTTGAGGAAAACCCCTTCCGCTTCATTCCCGACACCCGGTCTCGGACCAGCAAGTGCGCTCTTTGCCTCTTGTTCCGCTCTTCTTCTTCTTCTTCTTCTTCTTCTGCTTCTGCTTCTGCTTCTTCTTCCTCTTCTTCTTCTATTTCTTCTTCTTCTTCTCTGATGATTCGAAAGGAAAACCGGGTAGGCGGGTTGGTGAATTGAGGACCTTTCGAAGAAACCAGCGGAAATGAAATTCTACGGGACGTCCGCATACGCAGCGAATTCCAGGTTCGACCCATGTAGGGTACGTGGGTGGCTTGTCTGTTTTTGGGTACCTTTTTTGGTTTGCGTTAAGATTTTAGGAACCACCAATAAACTGGTTTGCCATTTGGGGGGTCCAACCTAAAAACAGACACCCCCATGTTATAATCTAAAGGACCGAAAAGTCGTGGTGGGCTCCTTTTCATCCTTTGGGTGAGCTCGCAACAAGATAGGCAAACACATGCATTCAACGTTCCGCAGGGATCACCAAGCAATTCTCCAGGCACTGTTCTTGGTTGCTGTTGACCTCTCTGCAAAAGAAGTGAATCACTTTTTGCGGGTCCAACTCGGAAAATCCGAGCTGTTTCAAGTTGTCCAGTCCAAACATTTGTTACCAAGTAGCCATAAAGCGTTAAGGAACGCTCAAAAATGTACTAGGTCTCTGGAGAAAGCTGTACAAGGCCTTCTGTCAAAGGAGGTACTTGAATGTTCGACCCGCTGAGGACCAGGTTATAACTATGCTTAGGCCCAGTAATCACCCTCCTTGCTGGTGCTCACAGGGCAATGACCTTCCGGGTGTTGGAAATGAACCTAGGGATTTTGCTTGAAAGGAAACCAAAAGGGGTGGTTAATAGGGGTCATTCCCTGCGGAGAACCAGCAGGACTCAGGCATGTCCATGGCTACAACCCGAGTGGATTTAACATTCAGGGCAAGGGGGCACTTGATGGTTTCCTTTGACATCCACCCAAAACAAATTGTTACAGACAAGATCGATGCAGGACCTTCTGCGAAGGAAGGAGATCAACTGTGGAAAGTCAGGGCTCGGTAGGTAGCTGTTCCTTGGCCAAAACACACACACTCGATGCATTGGATGGAGAGTACTTGAGCTGGGACACACAAACACTTCCTTTCACGTCTCTTTCAGCAGCAGCTTTCAGCTTCCCGCCGGTTGGTTTGGATTGGTGGACGCTTAGGGGTGACTTCCCCTTTCACCCTGTATGCCAGGGCTTCAAATCAGAAATTCCCCAAACCCCCAATCCAAACCACCCACGGACTTCCTGGCTGCGTCTTTCTTTGGGGTACCCCAATTGGCTTCGGGTTTCCTTTTGGCTTCCCTTCAAAACCACCAAACAGCGGGGGTACCTCAAACTGCCTCAAACCAAAAAGACACACACACACACACCTGACCCCTTCGCAACATGTTCCTCGCCAGCCCAGCCCAACCCCACGTCACTCTCGCGAAGCGAGGCGCCGTAGTAGGTGAAGTTCTCGCCCGCCTCGCCGCCGCGACCTGACGGAAGTCTCCACAGCGCCGTTGCCCAGCTCGGGGAACCGAACGACTTTTCCAAAAAGCGACCTGTTTTGGGACACCGAAACGAGGTCGCACAGGGTGCGGTACAGTAGTTGTTGCAAGGGCACCCCAAGTGTTTGTGGTTTTTGTTGCAGGGAGACCAACAGGAAAACCACAACTTGGTGGGTCTAAAAAAGAAGACACGCCCAATCAAGAAAAGGGGTGAACTAACAAAACAAGCCGGGGGTTGCAAGACAAGGGCAACCCAGGTGTAATTTGACGGAAATCAACCGCACCCGCAACGGGAAGCCCCAGCATATACGCCATACCCCGAAGAAAAACACATTGCGATCCCTGACCAAGAGGCGAATTCTTTTCAGAGGCCTACCCCCATAGCTCAATAGCGTGGATGGTTGCGAAATCCATACATCACAGCACGAATGAAACCATGGTTGAAACACTCTTTGTTGGTACTCAAAGGGTTCTTATCAGAAACCAGGGCTTCTTAGGAGGTGCAAGACTTCGCAACCATCTACAGTAGGGATGTCTTGGCTTGCACAGGATTCTGTGGGCCTCACAAAAAAAAAAAAAACATCAAGCCAAGCAGTGGTGGAACCATTTATTCAAACGGCTCCTGGGGGGGTTTGGCGCTGCTCAATTGGCAACGGTGGTCAATGGTCAGCGGGATGGTCTTGGCAAAGGGCGTCCTTGCCCCTGGTCACTATGTCAAATGGGAGTGTCGTTTTTGAGAGTCCCCCTTGCTTTGTGGTTTTAAGGGGAAACCAACATGAAAACCACCATCTTGCGGTCCGCAAAAAAAGACACACCCAAATCATGATTTACCAGCCATCAGCCATGGTTCACAAATGAACCACTGCGAATGCATCATCAAGCTCTGCTACATCAGTGTAGATACTCGTGATTTTCTATGTATACACATGTGGGTGTGTCTTTTTGGAGGAACCCTTTCAAAGGCACCCGACCCTAGCCCTTGGAATCTGTCAGATTGCGACAACGGCGGCTGCTCCAGCTTTCAGCTGCACGTCGCTGCATAGCCCAAGTGCAACAGACCAGACTTCTGCACGGGAGACATGAGAAACTCTCCGGCGCCCGTGGCGACGTTCGCACTCGCGAGCCGGCACTAGTTGGCTATGTGGCTGCGGGCTCTTTGTCCAAGGACCAGCACTCTGTCCTGCTTGCCCACAGCAATCAACGGCACGATAAGCCTACGTCGACACAAACCATATTTCTATACATGTATATATATATATACATATGCACCTGGACCGGATGACCCCTTAAACCGCAACTAACCAAACCAATTGGTTGACCGCTGTGAAAGTCCAGACACAAGCTCCCGAGACAGCCACCCAGTAAGAAAACAACTGGTGGATTTACGGTGTCTTAGGACATTCCCTCTGAAAGTGCCAGGGCATTTCTCCAGATTGGCCTCCGGAATTTCCACGAGCTCAGAAACTGAAGGAAGAACTTGCTGTAGGGAATCGTTTGAGGAAAAAACGAAGGGGATCCCCTAGAAAACCACCATGCTTGGATTTTGGAGTTCACTGCCTATCGAACCAAGACAAAGGCTTCAACATCCAACCCTAAACCTAGGAACGGGCCACCCCTTCTTGGTTCATCATGTCTTGGTTGCTGTTGACCCCTCTGCAAAAAGTTTGGGTCACTGAAAACCCTTGATTTCAAGAAAAAGTTACTGTCTAATGGCCAACCCAATAGCAATCCAGATGTTCGGGCAAAAACGGGGAACTTGGGCCCCACCAGACATTTCCGGGCAACATAAACCCCGTGAAAAACAAAGCAACACATGTGTCCAGTAGTGATATATTGCCTTTAAAACCAACAGGGACACTACAACTATTCTTAGGCAAATGGAAGTGATGGACATAAATCATCAGAAATGAAAGTACCGAAATGTGGGCGCTAGTGAACGCTGTTTTTCATTTTACCGTGCCAAATACACACACCCACATACCCTCACGTTGCCAGGGAACCAGATGGCTGCCTTTAGGAAAGCGGTCAAAGTTGGGCCAAACGGATCCCGCACCCTGCAAAAGCAGTTTATGTTTGCTGGTTGAAAGGACACATACCAGAAGTTTTAACACCAAGGTAAGCGATCCGTCTGGCAATCCCCGTGGATCCATTTACCTGGTTTTGTAGAGAACCAAGGGAACCGCCCGATACAAAAACCAAATGGACATTGGCGAAGGGTTACCGACTGTGGATGGACAAGATCCTGCACCACCTGGAAACCATGGGACACCATTGTTCCAGGGGAATCATCCTTCCAGGGTCTCTGAGGGGTGCAGGATTTCGTCCATCCACAATAAAAAGGGACACCTGCATAGGTGTCTGTTTGGCAAAATAGATGGCCCTGGTAATAGGAAGCAAAACCCGTCTAAACCACAGGAACCTATTGATTTCTATCCAAATTGATTTAAAAAAGGCAGAATCTGATCTGCTTGCTGGTTGAAAGCAAACTGCCCTCCGCTTCTCTGTGCCTCCCGGGAGGTGGGGCAGCGCCAGGTGCTGATGCAGCTGCACCACCGCCAGCAGCAGCAGCGCGCTCGAGGCGAAGCCCAGCCTCTTGGCCGGGAGGGGGGGGGGGGGGGGCGTTCCTTGGGACAATTTGTCCCCGACTCCCTGCACGCCCCACAACTGGCTCCTTTGTCCTCAAGACACCCCACCTCGAGGCCGGATGATTCTCTTGAGAACCCCTCAAAAAGAGAGAGCACGTCGGACGCGGGCCTGGTAAAATGGATTCCTGAAGTGCTGAAGGGTTCCTTTGCCGGCGAAATGAGTTTCAGCTGCCTCAAAGACCAGGCAATACCAGCACCGCAAGTGACGCTCAGTGTCTTATGTGTACACCTGTTCAATCGGCCCGTTCAGGTTCGCGACCCAAAACTGAACCGACCCGAACATAGGGTCCAAGTCACCCCAATGACCGGTAAAAAGGAAGGTAACAACCAGTTTCCGACTTTGATGATCAACAACAAAACCAGCCGTCGCCAACCCAGGTCCAACTGCCTAAATCGGCCGTGAAATTGTGTAGCAAACAAAATGGTTGCATTGCGCAATGAACCCCTGTAGAGATCTCACTTCCTGAATGGCTGGGCCAAAGAAGGTGTCTGGTCCTTTTCCAACCACCGGGCTGTCCTGACATCCCCTGCTGAAAGTTTTTAGAACTTTTCCTTGTTTGAATGGGTTCCACCCCCCCAACCAACCAAACCAACCGAAAGCCTACTAGGTCCTCCAGTGCAGAGGTTAGAATAAGGGTACCAACTTTTTTCTGTAGTCTATTTTAGTAGGGGAACCCTCCCCCAACAAAGGTAAGAAAGGGCACTGCTGGGGGACCTAGCCTAGGCTGAAGCGGACGATCCGCCGGTGGAACCACCCGCCCAGCCGAACCGCCTGTAGAGCATCTTGGCGGCCGGCGGCCCCACCGCCAGCTCCGAGATCTGGGGGAACCGCACCTAGCCATTCGAAGCACATCAACGGCGCCAATGCCACCCTGTTCTTTCCAAAAACCGGCCGTTGTCCATGGGTTTCCGGAGGGTTTCTAGAAAGGATCCCTGGAAAGAATTGATAAGCTACCCCTAGAGCCACGACTTGTCGTTTTTAGGTGCCCAAAATGGGTGCCTTGTTTCGGGTTGGAACGCTCTCTTGGTTGGTGTTTGGGCCCCCCAAATGGGTGTGTCACTTCTTGGAACGAAAGCACAACTGCAGCCATTTTGGGGGGTCCCTAAAAACGACAAGTCCAAGTGTCGTCGGTGGTCCTTTTGGTGTTCCTTTGAAGCCACCAAACAGGGGGTCGCTAACCTTGGTCTAAATACATGAGGTGGTTTGCATTTGCATTCACTTTCAGCACTCGTCACCAAAGGGAGGTGCTCTATTTGCGGACACACGTGAAAAGTCAAGTCAAACAAAGATACCACCAAGGGCCTCGTAAAGATCAGACCATGTGAGTTGACTGGTCAAACAACTTCAAAACTGTGTGAACTGAAATGACGAAAGCTACCAATGTCATGTGAACAGCTAGCCAGCTCAGCAGGCAAGCAAACGAGCCCTCAATGAAATTATTCTTTCGGATTACATATCCCAAATGGCATGAGTATAGACTACTTCTCGGGTTGCCTAGCAACAGTCAAGGGCGCAATTCAGAAAGGAATTCAACTCCCTCCAGACACATTCTGGTGCGGTGCACCGTTGAGGGTCAACATGCTCAAGAGATCGGGGTTGTCTGGGCAGTTAATGCCGAGAGCCCTGGATAAACCCGGCACTTCAAGATTTGTGTGAAGCTCCGGGGGACAAAACAAAGCTGACCAAAAACAAAGTTGCAACTCTTGGTATGTGCTTGCAAAAAACGGAAGGTTGTTTACAGCCCCCTACTGAAAAAGAGCAGGACCAAACAAATACTTCCCAACAAGAGTGAAGAACAAACCCTCCTACCTGGGCCAACCTGGGAATTCCCAACCCGTGCGAAAAGATGGTAACCTGCGGAATCCGAACCAAATACACGTGGTTTCGTAACTTTCTCAAACAAGCTGCTGCCGTTGTCTTAATGAGGGGCCCAAGCACAGCTGGATTGCTCCTTGCCCCCTCAGCAACAGCTCTTTAGAGCTGTAGGTTTAATGAAACCAGTTTTGAATAGGTCGCTTTCGGGCCATTCGCTCGCACCAAAATCGCCATGAATTTTCAGATGCCAATTGAGTGCTGGGGCATCCGCCAAGTCAATTCGAGCTTTCCGGCCTCTGGGTCATGCAGGGACTCGTGCATGCGGTAGCAACCGGCCACCTCGATTTCCCAGCTGATTTGAGCGCGGGATTTATGACATGTTCCCCACTAAACCTGATTTTTTTGCCAGGGATCAATGAACCGCAAAGGTGTGTGGGCTTTTTGCCGGCTCTCTCTCTGTTTGAGGTATACCACTCCAAGCACCCCATTTGCTCAGAGGTTTCTGAGCCGCCTTCAGAATGGGAGGTTCAGAATGTTCCTTTCCGCCTCAGTAGCTTCCCATTTACCCTAACCAAATCCAAACCACCAATTTGGGGTAACCTGCGTGAAGGTTACACAGAACAACTTAGCTTCGATTCCTTGGTCCTGACAAGCGGCAAGCCCAATCAGGTTGAACCAGACAAAGAGTCATGGCAATTGAACATGACCACACATGACCAAACATGACCAAAACTGGTTGAAGCAAGTGGTTTTGGGTGGATTTGGGGCTTGCCAAATCAAAAACTTATCTACCCCCGTTGTGGCTTCCTTTTCAGCGGTTCCAGCCTCAAAAGCTTTCCTCCACCAGCAACTGATTTGTTGATATGGGTATGAATCTTAGTTGATCAACACAAACAAAAAAGACACGTAGCGGCCATACCATGCCATACTAGTCATAATCCTGCACCAGTTGGTAGGCGGTTTAACCCAGACTTCACGTGGTGTGATCCATCAAAACTGGTTTCAAGTTGGAATACCAATTTGTTGGTCTCCCTATTTTGACACATGCGGGTTGATCCAACAGGTCCTTTACATGGGATGACCATTGGGTAAAACAACTAACAAGATGATATTTCCCACTAAATGGGGAAAGTTTCCCATGGCCAGGAATAAAGATCAACCCCCACATACCCACTACCCAAAAACGGATGGTCCCCCGCCCCTTGCCCGCTCCGAGCCGCGGTTACCAGTATCCACAGGAAAGAGCCCAGCGTCGCCTCCCGAATCGACGCTATTTGGAATGCCTCTTTCGGTGTCCTGTGTCGGGGTGTCCAACAATGGGTGCGTTGTTTTTCCAGGAGGGGTGCTCAGATGGGCGTATAGCTCCAATGCTTGCAAAACACTGTACATACCAAGCTTTTCTGCATGTGCAGACCAGATTTGGGGAACCCTTTTTGGGTGGTTTGAAGGAAAACCAAAAGGACACCCACCATTTTAGTGGCTCCCATAAAGGTTTCTGAGTGATGCGAAATGGATTTCGTCCATCCACAGAATGGTTGCATGAACCCCTTTGGCTCACTTCCTGAGTGGATCCGAGCTGTTCATTTACCACCACAACCCCCTTCCTTCGAAAAGTATAAAGTCTACAATAGACCATGCAAAAGGAGCCGTGTTTGGGGGGCAGTTTTCTGCAGGGCTGTGTGATTTCATGGCGGTTTCAACCCAAACCAAAGCCGAGACGTCCGAAAACAGTGCCTCCCCCCCCCCTTTTCTTCCCCCGCCAGCAGCGGCACGCTGGCCACCACAGGCCCCGGGACATCACTGCTGCCGGCCAGGTAGTGCAGCCTGCAGCTGGAAAGTGACCCTTTGGCAGCCGATGGCTCGGCTTTGACGTCGCACCCGGAAAATGGGTGAAGTACAGACGAAATACGAATCAAGACAAGTCAAGTAAAGAGTATGCCCAAAAGTGCAATGGCGGCACCGAAAGCTTCACTCGCGCAACCTGCTTTTGTCTTGAGCCAAAGCATTCAAGTCATCCAAGGCGAGCTGAATGTTTGTTATCAGTGTCAACCCTGGAAACCTGATTCAAAGGGCAGTTCAAGCAAACATGAATTCCGGGGGCAAGGTTGAATTAGACATGCATGCACCACCTACCATCAGGAAAATGTGGATTCCAGCAGGAGGCATTCTTCTCCCCCTTCTCACGCTCGGAAAGTGTCCTACGCAGACTCCAGTATGGTTACTTAACTATACTGCCTACGGGCCTCGGAGCGTTTCCGCTTCACGAGGTTGCACTTTGCAAGTTGAGCCTAAGGATGCCATGTTGAGTAGGTTTAATGCATGGTCCCACTTGCACACCGGCAATAAACACATCCGCTCGCTGCTTGTCCGTTGCTATGTACAGGAGTCTGCAACTTGGATCTTCGAAGACCTCATAAGCTGAACCTAGTTCGATCTTCTCCGTCTTCGTGAGGTGTCGCAATTTGGGGCTATAGCCCGCAGCCACGATTTGGATTACAGCTGAGTTGTCCTGAAAGCACTCAAGCGTGACCTGACGGTTCAAGATCAACTCAAGGAAGCCTTGTGCTGGCAGTGCTTCGCCGAAAAGGCCTGATCCCAGCGAGATCATCTCTGCTGCGGTTCCTTTTCTGGCTCTCTTGCTGCGAGAAGTTCCTCTTCAACCCCAAAATGAGGCAAAGAGTCGTCGAGCTTCACGCCCCTTTTTGACCTCGGTAGGTCTGAAGGGTGGCCAGGCGTGGGCGGAGCTTCTTCAAATGCTTTTGCGTCCGGCGCAAGCAATTCATGAGGTCTCGCTGACGGCCTACTTGTGTCCCCTTTTGATGAGGACAAAGGCTCTCCTCCTGTTGCTGGCATTCCTGACACGGCATCTGGTGCTGCGACAGCCACGCTTTCGGATAGGTTTGGAACGTTTTGCTCCACACGATCGGCATAAATCCTGGCTGACTCCGGAACGTGATGTACGACATCACTCACCCGATCTGCTTTGATTAGGTATGGGAGTTGGCCTGGAAACCGCACAGATGGCCTGCCGTGCTGTTCCACTTGAAGGCCTACCGACAAGGCATGAGGGCAATCCTTCAACATGTAGAACGTGTTTGTTCCTGACAAATCCCCTGAGAGATCCACCACTTCAGCACTGGGCCTGATGCCACCACCGGTGCAGAGTTCGATCGGCTCATTTGCCTCGTGCACATGCTCCCTGAAGGATTGCGGCAAACTCTTGCTTGAGATTAAGTTCCTACCGGCACCTGTGTCCAGCAGAAACTCTTGCTGCACTGGCTGGCTAAGGCATGCAATCATGGTTGCCACGGCTTTCATGCATTGCGACAACACGGGAGTGCAGAATGCGGTCTTCTTGCACTTCTTGGCTGCTTTCTTAGCTTCAGCAACAGTTCCTTTCAAGGCATACGCGGCTGCGAAAACCTTTGCTGCCCCTGCGTTGACGGAGGCTGCACCTGCTGGCGATGACGTCTGAAGCCCTTTTGGCTTGGGTCCCTTATAGAGATTGTTGGAATCATGAAGATAGAAGCACTTATCACCTTTGGTGCAAGCATTATACCCAAAGTACATGCAAGGCTGCTTCTTCTTTTCTTCATCCGTTAGCCTAGGAGTGCCCTTAGGAGTTGTGTCCCCCTTCTTACCCTTGCCACCCTTACTCTCGCCCTTGCCTTTCCCCTTTGCAGGTGCTGCATTCGCTTCTTTAGGCTTCGGATCTTTGGAGTATTTGGGCTTCTGGCTGGATGAAGGTTGCTCCTTTTGGGCTTCCCCCTTCTTCTCTGCCTTCTTCTTGTCGTTCTTGTCTTTCCCTTCCTTTGTCTTGGCTGGCGCTGCTTGGGACTTAGTTGCGGATTGCGTGTACACCTGATCGATCGACACGACATTTTCATCTAGCTGATGAATCTCGATGATTTCCCCGAGCTTCGCGTAAAGCCAAGGCCATGTCCTTTTACTGCTGTTTGGACTGGCGTTCCTGAAACGGTCGATCACCAAAGCCATTTTTGGATGTCCTTTCAATTGGTCGAAAAGGGTGCTCCTAATAGCTTGGTCACTCGGTCTCTCGGAAACTTCCAAGGCCTGGTACACGAAGTCGAATCTCTGACGGAAATCTTCGAGTGCCTTAATGTCGGTGCCGCTCATCTTGAGGCCTAAGCGATGGGTTTGAGTCAAGGCAATTCCCCTATCCTTCTCCATCTTAAACCTCTCAAAGATGACCCACAACAACTTCCGCCACTTTGGCTGCTTGAAGACCCGTTGCTCTTGCTCCTGAATGGATTGGAAAAGCATGGCAAACTTGGTGTTCTTCGACAGCTCAAGCAGCTTTGAACCCAACACTCGATCAAGAATTGGAAACGGAAGGCTCGACTCGAGATCGGCTTTGGGATTAGTGCTTTCGGCGATCCAACTATGGACTAAGGAATCGTCACCCTTTGCAAGCCTACACACAAGGTTGAAAACCGAGTTCCTGAATAGGCGAGCGTCTGCCGCCGTTTTGGGCAGCTGAGGCAACTTCATCTCATCATATGCCTTCACACGCATGAGTTTCTTTTCCCTTGAGTAGGCATCGATTGCCCCGTCAATTTGGGCCATTCCCTGATTTCCTTGAGAGGGAATTGAGGGGCCCTGAGGAGGTCTTTGCGAGCCTCCTGGCGAACCCCCTGGTCTCCCGCCGCCTCCACCCTTGTTGGATTCGCTTGATGGAACCATGCTGTGAACCATTCTGCGATCCACCCCCTGACTGCCCTCCCACAGATCCTATGTTGAAAATCTGGGGAACTTGCCCTGTTCCTGCCTGATGAATTTGCGGCACAGGTTGAGCGGCGGCAGTCTGGGATGCAAATAGCTCAAAGGCTGATGTGAGTTGATCCAAACGCCTTTCTAATGCACTATCCCGAATTCGGTGCAACTGGAGAAGAACCCCCAAAAATGTTTCTCACAGCACCTGATAAGTCCCATGATGAAACATTGTGTGCACTGATTCCGGTGCCCTGAGGCATCACGGGGCTTGCCTGGTGTGAACCAGCGCCATGCGCTATCGGTTGGGGGTTTCCGGTGCCCTGCGGCATCACGGACCCGTCCTGCACTGGCTGGCTGGTGATCGAAGGCATCACAGCAGGCTGCCCACTCGCCTGCAGTGGCGGATTATCCGCGCCATTATGGATGCATGCCAGTTCCCTTTTTAAGGATTGATTTTCGGCTTCAAGAGAATTCAACCTTTGCTCCATTGCTAGCAATCGGTCTGCCAACTGTTGCGCCCTCTGCGTTGCTTCGGCCTCCCTAAGCTGGTGTTCCCTAATCTGGTCACTTGTGCCATGCTGGGCCCTCGTCAAGGCATCTTGGAGTGCCTGAACCTGTGCATTGGCTTGTGATTCCAAATAAAGGACTCGCTCCTGGGCTTGTCTCAATTGGTCCCCCGATTCATGCTTGGTCCTTTCAAGTGATTCCTGAAGGGCATGAACTTGATTGAAGGATTGGCTTTCCAATTGATTTACCCTATCCTTAGCCTCGGCCATTAAGCTTTGAGCTTGGGCTTCAGTGACAATCAACCTCCTATCATTCTCTCTCAAATGCGCTTCAGCTCTTTCTACCAGTTGTTGATCCAATAATTGAACAACCATGGTCGGCTGGTACACTTGGGTGTGATGAGCTTGAGCGTGCATTTCAACATTTGGTGAGAAATGATGATGCTGTTGCAACTGAGCACTTTGCATGTTGATCCTACTACCCATCGGTTGGGATGATGCCGTGGACATGCTAGTGTCTTCATTACTACTACTGGAGTCTGCGACCTGCGGGGGTGAAAACATCTGTGCAGATCCCTGAGCAGCTGGAACTATTTCTGACGGCTCCATTGCTTCTTGAAATTGGTCGGACAGGAAAAGCTACTGACGCAATGCCTGCTTGCACCTTGCGGCGCACTCCGGCCAATGGGCCACACAATCCTCGAGAAATCCGACTGGCCTGAACAAATTGTTGGCCGGTGGCTTCCTGCGAAGCTTGATGTGAATGCCCGAGATCTTGTCCTGTACCTGGCGATCGATGATACTGTTGATGACCTCGTCACTGTCGTCAACGATGAATGCTGAGCGGAATCCAACTGACAGCAGATCCTGAAGGACTAGCACCTTCCCACCTTTCTGGGTCCTGGAGTTGTATCTGGCCCTTTCAGAAGTTGTAATGATGAAGTCAAAAACTGATGAAATATCCGGAGTGCGATTGAACGCAGCAACCAATGCGTCTCGGCGTTCTTGGCTATGGAGGTAGGATAGGCAGATTGTCACAACGTGGATACCTTCGCGAAAGAAAGCGGCTTTCAGCTGTCTAATCGCTTCGAGGTTGTCGTGGCAAATACCTTCGTAATCCCACTCTGTGCGTCCGCAAAGGGCTCTGTCAAGAACCTGGTGATAGTCGATTGCAACCACGCAACTGTCCCGAAAGTCAATGCCGTAGCGCGGCTCGTAGACAAAGGACAATCCTTGATCTTCCCCATTGCTGTTCACACACTTGAATACTCCTGTGGCAAGAGCCAAATCACAAATCACCGCAGCGAAGTGATGCCCGGAAGGCTCAGCGCGCCTCGGCGTACGTGAAGTGCCCTCTGGCCTCGACGCAGCTTTGCTGGTCGCCTGGAGCAATCTGTGCTGCACAGGCTCCGCAGACGATGCAGGCTCTTCGGCTCGGAGCGACTCGCGCTGCACAAGCCTAAGAGGAGCAGTTCGATCCGCTGCCTTCACAACCCGAAAAGACACCCGATGATTCTGGGGCTCCTCAGTCAGACGCTGTTGCTCGTTCCAAAAGGCCTGTTCGTAGAGCTGTAGCTGTTCCCAGTTGACTTTTGCACGTGCAACTGTCCCAGGTGCTATCCAGCACAAATGGAGGTTCGTTTGATAAAACCCCCTCGGCCAATCCGTCACGCAGCACACCAAGTTTCTGTGATTTGCCTCTTCGTCCGGCTCGATGCCAACCGAAAAGGTTCCACAGTTCTGGTGCAATTCCCGGATGCTCGACGCCCTCACCCGCCGTAGCTATCGGTCGCAGCTCAAAAGCTACGGCTGATAACCAGACGAAATACGAATCAAGACAAGTCAAGTAAAGAGTATGCCCAAAAGTGCAATGGCGGCACCGAAAGCTTCACTCGCGCAACCTGCTTTTGTCTTGAGCCAAAGCATTCAAGTCATCCAAGGCGAACTGAATGTTTGTTATCAGTGTCAACCCTGGAAACCTGATTCAAAGGGCAGTTCAAGCAAACATGAATTCCGGGGGCAAGGTTGAATTAGACATGCATGCACCACCTACCATCAGGAAAATGTGGATTCCAGCAGGAGGCATTCTTCTAGTACAAATGAGAAACGCTTGTGCCCAAAAAGAAAGAAGACTTGTAAATAGTTGAGAACCTGATCTTATTCTTCCTTGATTGTTGCGTATCTTCAGCACTATTCTGTCGAGCTGAACCTGGAGTGGGACACTGTTGAGCATCGGGATTAAGTTTGTCGATGTGCAATGGGGGTGGGGTTCGTTTTTGCGGGTTGGTTTGTTTTTTTTGGATTTTGGTGGTCGTTTTTGGCGGGTTGGTTTCGGTTGTTTGTTTTGTTTTTGGCGTCGTTGTTTTTCCCAATAGCTGAAAGCGATGGGGTCGATAGGCCCAAACAAGCTCTGGTTTGAGCAGCTTTCTGGGAGGGTGCCGGAGGGTTCCAGAGGGTTCCGGAGGGTTCCAGGGGGTTCCGGGGCTGCTGGGGATACCACTTTCACTGTTGCTATACATATATATATATATATATATATATTTGGGGGGGGGCATTGGGCTTGGGTGTGGGTTGTGTTGAATTTGGGCTTGCTGGGATTGCTTGGGCTTGGTTTGGGTTCGGTTGCTGTGGCTTGATAACAGGGTATGAGGTATGAATGCATGGCAAAGGCATGGTATATGCCCACCAAGCATGTGCAAGGGCGTGTCAACCACTGAAATTCATAGACGTGTGTCCATGTGTGCCAGACAAGGAGAACCCCGCAAAACAAGAAGAAACAAAAAGACACATGCCCCTTCGGGTGCCCATTTGAGCCATGAAAAAGGGTATGCAAGAGGGGTACAAATCGGCTGCCTTTGCTGTCTGCTGCGAAGGTTTGCTGATGAATGTGACTTTCGCTGGTCAGTGGGAAATTGGTGCGTCTTGGTTCGCAGTAAGCACCCTTGTTTGGGGCCAGTTCTACAGCTGATTAATAAGGGAACCAAGCCTAAACTCCCACTTTAGAGTCACTATTGTCTGAATAACCGTCTTTTAGTTCCCGTTGCGGATCAGAAAAGTGACATCCTCAAACTTACCCTATACATGGTGGTGCAAAGATAAATTTTGAGAACCCCGCACACGTAAAAACTTGAGCGGCCCAGAGAAAATCCCTGCACCTTCCGCAAGGGATTGCACTCTTGTTTTGGCAGTTGAAATAGAAACCCCCTCAATTGACAACCCTCCAATTCTTTAAGATCCCTGGGAAAATAAACGCATATTTCCAGTAGTGACACATCCCCTTCAAAACCAACAGGGGAAAACATGATCTTAAGCAAACTGAGGAAACACAGGTACCACTGGAGGTCCCGGTAGGCGCCTCCGGCCCACCAGCTCGGAGCTGAGCAGGACCTCAGCAAAGCGAGGCTCTTGGTCGGACCCGATTCACCCGAGACTTTGGGATCCAAGATGCTGATATGGGTATGGGTCAAAATTAAATACCAGGGGACCGCAGGTTGTCGTCCATGTGTCCATTTACCAGGGTTCCATTTTGGGTACCTTTTTTTGACCCACAGCTATATGGGCGTGTCATTTTTTGAGAAAACCCTCGACATGGTGGTTCTCCTTTTCTTTTGGGCGCCCTTTGAAACCGCCATGTTGCGGGTACCCTCAAAAACAGACCCATTGAACGGTCCAATATGCGTATGGGTCAACATTAAAATACCACCACAAAACCGCTGGTTTTAGTCCTTGGTTCCATTTACCAGGGTTCCATTTGGGGTACCTATTTTTGACCCAGACCCATTTGTGTTGGTTCTAACATGCTCATCCAAAGGTTTAGCAAGGAATGTGACATCTACTTTCACCCGTGTACTATGCAACAAGGGTGTATATAAGCAAGAAATTGCATTCAGCACAGCAACACCTAGCACAGGGGGTTGCTAAATGCCGCCCCAAGCCCTCTGGCGGCAGAGTGATCCAAGTTTGAAACTTGGAAATGAGAAGTGCCTGGACGTACGCCTTGATGGCGTTCGCGGTTGTAGCGGCGTGCCCGAAAAGGGCGGAATACGCCAAACAGTTGTTCAAGCCTTGCACACTTGTGGGGTTGGCACCCAGCTCCTGGTACGCGGCTGTGGCGCCACTTTCAGCTTGTGCGCAGTCACCTTGACAGACAACTCCGCCTTCATGTGCTGCAAGTGTTTAGCGAAGCTATTGACATGAGTTGTCCAAAGTGGGCTGGGTGCTGGTACTACTAGATGGCTCCTTTGGCAACAAGACAAAACACACAAGAGGCCGTGACAGAAGACAAGTATGATCCAGCGTGATGGGACAACTAATGACGATAAAACATGCACAGGAGTTGTGAACTGTTTTCTGGTAAGATATCTCCTAAGTTCCTGGCACTTGACATAAACTCCTTTTGGAGGCTGTCGACTTGTGAAAGAACTGACCATACCCGACCCGGAAGCCCCGATGATGTGTCTTCCGGGGTGTGAACCCTGGATGCAACCCAATCCAACGTCTCTGCACGGTGGATTCCTCAATCATTGCAAGTTGGAAACCCGCCAACCCCCGTAAATTACGATGTGTTGTGGTTGGGTGGCTTTGAATCTGGGCAAATTACGATCATTCCTGAACCGGAACTAAGGGAATCCCCAGCTAAGGGACCTTCATGAAGCGGTGAGCTGGCTTATGCCCCGGATTGCCAGCACCATTGCTGGTTCTCAGCAAGGGCTAATTATGAGCCCGACAAAAACCATCCCTTTGCGGATTCCCAGAAATCCTCCGGTTCATTCCCCGAACCAGCAAAGTGGTTCCATCAAAATCTCCCTGAGCACCATAGACCGGCATCAAATTCACACTGCAAGCGCCTTCGCTTAAAAGAAAGCCCACCCCTGGACCTCTATGATAGTCTGGAACTCTATGATAGCCAGTGATCCCGGCTGCCAAAGAAACTCGATGGTGAAAGGTCAATTTGGCTTTGTGGCCATGGGGTTTGCTAGTGTTTGAGAAGCGAGGTATCACACAGGACACAGAAATGTCAAACGTTCGCTGGTTGGCTGCATGTTGGCGTTGCCTTTACCAACATGATCCGTCATCTTTGGGCTCCCTTTTGGGGAAAATCATCAGCCGATGCTAACCACCGCTGAGCGGGTGCGTGCTTTTGAGTCGGTAGCCTATTTATGAAATTGGTTTGAAGGGAAAGCAAAAAGGAGAACGAAGCCATTCTTACGAACCAGAGTCTACTTGCTTGCAAACTCAACCCCCGAAAACCGATATCCTTAAGGAAGGTTGACCCACAGCTTTTTTGGGGTTGGGGACCCATCTTTGGAGTAAGCCAATTTGGCTGTGGGTCAAAACCCTGTACCGCTGGTGAACATCAAAATAGGTGGCAAATGGATGTTCATCCACCCAAAAACGGCCATTTGCTTGGGGACGCGCCAGAAATTTTCCGAGGCACCGGCGGCGGCGGTGAGGACCGCTGAGAGGCAGAGCCGCACAGGCCAGGGGCCCAAGGTCCCCCAGCGCCGGCACTCCTCCTGGGCCAAGCATGGCGCCACTTCGGTGTGAAAATAGAGGTAACCCCTGCCCCATGTGTTTTGTCTATCCTTGTAACCATCTACCAAATTCATTTTGTTGTGTGTGTGGAGATACACCTATATATATAGTATGTACATGATTGCTGACTGGACTATAGTGTTTCCCAACCAATTTGGAGTGGTGTTTTGATTTGAGAAGGGCACTACTGTGGATGGACAACATGAATTTCGCACCACCTAAGGAATGACGACTCCCCTAAAAATACCAAGAAACGTTGTGGTTTCAACCACGGCTTCATGTTGCGGTGCGAGAAGCGGATTTCGTAACCATCCACAGTCTGGGTGCTGTGCCTCTGTGTGTGTGTGTGGGTGTGTCAGATAGGATTCGGTCCCCGGAAATGGCGTCGGTTTTCACTTTGATGCCCGAGGTGGTTGGGCAACATGGGTTTGTCAATTTTTGGGGGGAACCCCAAAATGGCAACAGTTTTCTCGGGTTCATTCCATTTCTCATACCAACCGGTTTTGGGAACTCCCTTTTAAAGGAAGCCATAGCGGATGGTGTAGTTCCGGTCATTCCAACTCATTCCCTACCAAACCGATCGCAAGAAAAGTGACGATCAAGTCCGAACCGGAACTTGAGGTGCCCTGCCCAAACCCTAAACCGATCCCGTCCTGCGTGCAAACTCGCAGGTTGTGACAGCGGATCACATGGCTCTTGGTCTGCACCTCGGATCTTGGGCGGTTCGAGCGAAGCCAGGGAATGGCTTTTGATCGGTTCGAATGCCAGGGAATCCCCGAGAAAAAAACCATCGCCGATGTGGTTTCCTTTAAGGGAATCCCCAAGACCGGGGTTCATTTCCAACACCCGGAAGGTCATTCCCTACGGCGCACCAGCAAGATGGGTCCCCTGTCTACGTATACTTGCAACCAAAGGCCCTTCTTGCTTTTCAGGTTGACGGGGCCATTAAAACTAGACCAAAATGGGGGGGGGGGGCAGGTGTTTGCTCTTTGAAGGTTAAAAACTATGTAGTGGTAACCTACGCATCATGCACCTGATTTGTGCATTCTACTCAGAAAAAGAGTTGTCAAGCTGAGGTGAAAGTGGAATCTGGAATTTAGCCAACACAGACCCAGATCAAGCTGCGGTCCAGAGTAAAATGATGGGAGTTAGCATTGAATCCCAATTCGTCAAGCTCTGAAAACTGGTTTATGAAGCAACATCAAAGCAAAAGACTGAGTTAAAACCGACATGCAACCATGTATGCCGGGGTCTTCCCGCCGATGCTAGCTTCAAGGCTTCCGCTTCCTGCCCCGGGATCTTGGGCCAACAAGTGAGGTTGTAATCTGGGCCTGAGACTTATCACACTTTCCCTGTTTGAGGGGTCCATTGAAGTGACGCTCTCGGACAGGGCAAGACGCACGCCAGCCAGTTCCGAGAGAAACGGAGCAATGCCTTCGGGCAGGACTGATTTGATTCCCGATTGACGCCCCAGAATCAGGCAGTTGACGCTGAGGATCGTCTCACGCGGGACGGCCAAACAGGCTTCCCCACATTCCCCCTTTAACATCCAGAACCGCACCAAAATGGTTAACTCCACCCTTTTTGAGGGGAAACATGGGAGTGTGTGTCTTTTGGAGTCTATCCTTTTTGGGATGGCTTCCACCCACCTTATTTGGGGGAGGTTTAACCCTCCCTTGGACCCCTGACAGTGGTTGAACCCACCACTCCAAGGCCCGTGCCTTGACCAGCCACTTGCCTTTGGTCACGCGCCGCTCCAGCGAGCAGAGGCAGCAGTTCAGCCTCCGTCAAGCCGCCGGCCAGAGGCTCAGAGCCAAGCGTTTTGGATCTTTGGGGCAGATTCCAAGAGCTTTCTTTCATTTGCTTAAGCCCCCTAGAAAAAAAATCGACATATTTCCAGTAGTCATAGATGCCCTTTAAAACCAACCGGGGAACATAAATCCAAAAGACCTTAAGCAAATGGAAGCTTCGCCTCGGAATTCAATGGGCTTGCTGCTTAAAGGATCCTTCCAAAGAGCATGGTCTATCCTTGGCCCCGAAATATGCAAGCAATAAGATGCTCGGATTCATTGAATCAGATCTAGTCGAGCTTGAATGAAAAAATGTTCTGTGAGGACTGCAACAACCCTCTTGGGCTTCCCATAGGCTCCAAAAGAGCAATGACTGCAGAGGGGCGTGGTTGATTGTTTGGGCGGTCCAATGATGTTCAAAAGAAGGCGTGCACTGGCAAGGCCTGCGCGCAAATGCTGCGCCACTGCCTGCAACTGATCACAAAAAGGATGATTGTTTGGTTCTCATCTGCCAGAAACAGGAGCTTACCGTCCAAACATAAGGGAAGTCGCCAGTGTGGAAAAAAGAGGCAAAAGCTGTAAGCTCCATGTTGCACATGCAGGCGGCATCGTCAATACTCACACTGAAATCGGTTGGTCAGGCTGCTCTATGGCATCTTTCACTTTCTTGCAGCGGAAAGCCGCAGTGTCACTTCTTGCAGGCCAAAGCAAGTCCAGTGTCTTGGTCTGCAAGAAACGTTATGATGATTGCACCAAAACAGGGAACACAAACAAATGGCTTCCTCATTCAGAAATTGGGCTTGAAAGGAGGATCAAAGCAAGGACCACAGCTCTGCCCCCAGTTCCCACACGTAAGGGTAGGGGGCTAGAGCACCGCGACTATCCTCCAGTCCCTGGTTACTCGAAATCCTAGGATTCGAGTGCCTGCAAACAACGTGGCGCAAACTACTGGACAAGATTCCACACCGAATTGGTACAGTATGTGGTTTCCAAGGTTGGCAACGGAATTCTCAAGGAAAAGAAACTGGCCTTCATTGGTGGATGCCTCTGTCATATTGCCAGCAAGCCAGCCATACTCAACCACAGAACCCTGGTAGATTGCCCTGCGAATCGAGGGTGTCCTTTTTTTGTGCCTCTTTTTTTGGGGGACCCCCAACCAAATTGTGTTTGTTCTCTTGGTTTCCCTTAAAAACACGAGGGGGCCAGAAAATGAATCACACCCTGTACCCAAGAAAACGCGCTTAAGAGAAGACCTCTGGAAGACTCCCTTGCTTTCTGCCACCTGATCTTATCACCGGCTGCTTTTGACTCAAGAGCTCAGTCCCTCAGGCTCTGTTAACCCCGGATTCAGCAGAACCCCTGGTGGATGAATTGATTGGGGGGTGTCCCCTGGGTCCCCTTAGTGGGGATTCAGACCACTCTTGGAGGGAACACCCCCCCTAATGGGACAGGTTTATTAATCCTGGGTCAACGTTACATGGAACCAAGTCTTCCATTCGGGGTCCCAGGAGCTTCCAGGGGACCTACAGCCAAAAAATTACCTGAGTATCATCCACCGACTGGCTTTGACACATCTTATAATTCTGCAGAAGACCAACGACAAGCCGCTTGTCTTCGACTAACTCCTAGAGACAGAGCGTGTTAGTCTTTCCACTTCTCTCCTCTAATAGCTCGGGAAGTAGAAAGGAGAGATAAGGTGAGACAATCCTTTTGCTGGCCAGTAGCCTTCCTACTGTGGATGGACGAAATCCATTTCCCACCTCAGAGACCCTGGAAAGAGGATTGCCCTGTAAATACCAACAGATAATGGTTTCAACCATGGCTTCCAAGTGGTGCGGTTTATGGATTCTGTCCATGCACAGTATGGTCAGACGTGAGCATTCGCATGTCAGATCCTTGCTGACCGGAAACTTGGTGATGGCTTCCGGGCCACCAGCAAACGACAGAAGAGGTCTCTCTCTCTGAGTCTGAGGTTCTCTTGGCTGGTGTCTTCTCTTGGCTGGTGTCATTTTGTGTGTGTAGAAACACTTCGCGACCAAAGGCGTTGTGGTGATGCGCGACGCACGCCTTTTTTTCCATGACATGAGAGCAGGGAGATCCTTCCGTTGGAAATCAGCACCAATCAATCAAATAAATCCGGCGTACTAAGTTCAATGTTGCATTGTGCTTTTACTACTTCCACGTTCGCATGGTGTAAACGTCACCCTGTGCCGCCCGTCTGTTTCGTGAGTGTGCGTCTGGGTGTTTCGTGAGTGTACACGTCGGGAACCCCACTGGTTCAAAGTAAATCTTCCAAGAAGGACCAATTTGACCCCTGATTCATGAAGTTGACCATTTTTAGAGGGCCCAACAAACAAACAGATGTTTCAGAGTAGAACCCGCCCAGCCAGGAAAAAGAACTTGCATGTCCCTGCTGGGCAAAGTGACAAGAATGGGGGATCTTCGCTTAGAACTTCGGTGTGTTCGAAAGGTCGCTGATGGCTCAGCTGGTTTGTTGGAAATTCACCTATGCGCACACGTCCGTCCACGCCGCTGCGCAGAAGCTGACAGTACAGAAATAAGGGCATATGTCTGTCAAGGCCTTATTTTGGAAATTAGGGCTTCTGTGGCCAAAACCAGGACTTGTCCTGGCCAGGGGAAACAGGGTATTACCTGATTTCGCTGGTTTGTTTGATTGAAATGGAAAAAAGAAACCTCCAGGAAACCAAGAAAGAGGGTGTGGTGGAGGTCTGTGGGGATCAATCCTCAGAACTCAAGCTGTTGAAGACCTCATGGTATGCGCTGGGCCTCCCTGCTTCTGTAGCTCTTTGTCCTCTTCCTCCAGCCCGATCAGGCGCGCCTCGCTCTTGGGGCGCTGGTTTTCTCTAAGAAGGCTATCCCTGCTGTCCAGGGGCCAAAATATTAAACATGGGGTTGGGGAGTGCTTCAACACTGAACTGGACATGATCAGAAAGCATGTTGTCCTCGGCAAGCCAGAAATGCGACCGATGACCGACCAATGACCGACCCTGACCAACCAGCCAACCAGCCAGACAGCCAGAAAGCCAGCAGCCTACAAACCAAAACAACACCACACAACAAGACCCAACCCACGGCCCCCCAAACCCACTCGCCTGATCTCCCGGTGCCCACTCGGAGTCCTCCACCTCCCAAACCGTTTCGCGGGAGGCAGGTATCCCCACACAAACTCGTCAGGGAATAATTACCAGGTGCCAGTACATTGGCAGGGCTCTCTACAATTGACCCAGGCAACGAGGAGACCCCAAGGAAACAAGTCAGGGCCTGGCTTTCACTAGGGCTTCCTATACTTCCCCAAGCACATCACGACCCAAAGGACCAGAAGGGACCAAGAGGTGATGAAACACGAAGCGGAAGATTGGGGACCCCGGGAACAGTGGCGGACGGAAGCTCACTTTAACTTGGCCCAAAAAGATGATGCTCACAACCCTCCAAATAGGAAATGTAGTAGGGAACCCCGGCCGGGTGCCTAGCTTGCATGACCCAAGAAAAGTGGTTTCCCTCCCAAACCACAACCAGTTTGACGCCTCCCAAGCTCCAATATGCAAGTTGTCCGAATTGAACATCCTGATGATGGGACCACCCATCCAATCATTTCCTCAATGGGGGGGGGGAAGGAGGGGAGGGGGGGAGGGGGCGGTGCGGCATTCCATTCTCTACCCGTTCGTTTGCTTAAGGCGCAACCAAAGATAAGTATATAATACCTGCTAGAGCATGACTTTGCTCTCTTAAAGCCCACTTGGAAGATACCTTAAGTGGCAACACCTGTCTCCTACTGGCCGCCCCTTCCGGTGCAATGGCCCTTGGCCAAAAACAAACAGCAGTCCTTCGATTCGGGGGATTCGGGGGGGGGCGGGGTAGTTGATTTTCCTGGGCTGTTCCCCTTCTATCCCCTAACAGTTGAAAACTTGTGGCTTAGCGGAAACCACTGAACCACCAAAACCAAAGAACCAAAGGATCCGTATGGAAACACCATGTTGGGAGAAAAGACCAGACCAGATATCCCCAACCCTCCGCAGCCCCGGACTGTAGGCTTAGGTCCCGAGTTTGCACTTGCCTCTCCAGAAGCAGCCCTGTTAGACCTGTCTAAGTCCATTTAAGCAACCTCCTTTACAGGGCTTCCCTGTGAAGGCGACCAGCTGGTTCATCAGACATACGGCTGTGTTCTTTTGTTCAGAGTACAAGTTGTTGGTGGTTTTGAAGCGATACCAAGAGGAAAACCGCAATTATATTGTTCTTCTTTTTTGTTTGGGGGGGGTTCCGACTCCTTTCAAAAACACACCCATATTTTGCGACTCATGGTTACGACCTCCATACCATGGTGCTGACCTAATTCCAAAGCGAGTTGAACACCCAATGGAAGCCTCCATTTGCTGAAGTCCCCTCGAAAAATATACATATGTCCAGTAGTCATAGAGATTCCCTCCAAAAAACCAACAGGGGAAAATATTGAACATATTCTTACCGAAGCAATTGGTTCAGACGCCCAATGGGTGTTAAGGGCCTAGGTTGGCCTCCCACTCCCACAGCGACTTACGGGCCTCCTGAAGTTGCAGGTTCTGCGGCTTTAGCCGCAGCAGGCGGTCTGAGCCTGTCACTGAGACCTGGCGCAAAAACGAGTGAGCCAGCCAACGCGCAGGAGGGCCGAGTTGACCGCAAATTGAATAGTTTTATCTTAGCAACAAACAGCTATATTTGAACCATATGAACAATATTTGAGCTAAACATCACAAATCATTATCAAACATACGTGGAACACCTGTGGAAAACATCTTCCTGGCACTTTGTCAACGGGTTGTGTTTCGGGTGTGTACCAACTGCAGGATCGTGGGAACCCCGCACCGGGAGCCCTTTTTTCGCTTTCGAAATGAACACGGCAAACTCAGATCATGCCAGATCAAAGGGTCGATTCGCTTTGGGCAGCTGAGTTCAGGTTTGGCTTTAGCAAGCGTGCACAGACTAAAGACTTTCCTTCTGGACAAAAGGTGGAGGGGGCCCTTTTTGCTTTTTCTTTGGCCTCCCAAGCGCCAATTTCCTGGGCGGAATTCTGGGAGAAAAAGGGCGCCGGAAACCCCTGCTTGCCAAAGCGTTACGGGCTAGCAAGCTTAAAGGCCAAATAAAGCCAAATACACATATGTATATATATATATTTATACATGTACATGTGTATTCATATACAGCTTTAATGTTTGCGGCTTCCAGTTGCCTTGTTGGCAGCCCTGGTTCAATTGAGCATTGTTTTTTAGAGTCCACGGCCGGGCGGCTACGCTGGGGGCTTCGCGGGGCCAGAATTTGCGGGTTGGCTTCGTGAGGCTTCGCGGCAAAACTGTGGCTTCGCGGGGTGGCTTCGCCGGGCTTCGCGGACGGATGTTCCACAAACATATCTGTCTGACGATTGCGCTCTCATTTAGTTGAATCGAGTTGTCTATGCGAAAGGCGGTGATGAAAGGCGGCAAGAGAGACATTGGGCCTGAGGACTAGGCAACATGGCTGGGCCTGATAGGGGCGGAGCATGGAAGTTGGACCACGGTCACTTCAAGGGGGCTTCGCGAAGGCTTTGCGAAAACGGCACATCTTTCTAGAAAACCGGGTCTGAAAGGGTGCGTCTTCCTGTTGTCTTCCCATAATCTTCCGGTAGTTGTCATCAACCTTTTGGCATGCTAGTGCCATGAAAGCACATGACCACAACCACGAATTGGCTGTGCATTGTGGCTTCGCCCGTGTCAATGTTACTGGGCTATGCGAATTGGCTTCGCGGGGCTTCGCGGGGCTTCGCAGCACACAATGTATCACACAAGTGCCATTGCGGAACTTTTGGGAGTTCCCCCGAAGCTAAAAACAATCACCTGAGCAGAAAAAAACTATTCAATTGACCATTGGCAAAGTGGGTCCCGAACCAAACCTAAAGATCTTTGGGGGTTGAATACCCTGAAAGCACTGGAGGTGTTCAGGCAAATAAGGGGATATGTTGCGGCCAAAAGCCAAAATGAGCGCAAATAAGCCACGGCTGGGGCTACTTTCAGGCCTCTAAAGTTGATTCTTGACAGTTCTGGGGGGGAGTAGATGGTCACTCGTCCTCCCCTAAAGGCTTGCCCACATGCGGGAATTGCCAGCTACTTTCGAGGCCACATACACGGCAATATGGATGCCACACAAACGCACCCCGGATCTCCGGATCTCGCTAACATGGAACCTGACGTTTCGGGGTCCTGGTGTGCTTCAAAAGGCATTAAAGGGACCATTTCTCTGGTTTCATGGCAACGTGGACAGGGTACTTTCTACTTTCACCCTCCTGGGAACCCTGGAGAAATGAACACCTGGTTGATCTTGATCGGGGGGTGTCCCCTATAGGACGGGTTTATGAATCTGGGGTCAGCATGAGGGGAGGCATGGAAGGTTGAATTTCTTTGTATCCCTTGAAGAGGCACGATCTGGGTGTGGGTCTAAAATAGGTACCCAAAATGGGTTGCCCTGGTAAATGGGAACAGTCCCAGGTGCATGCTTCAAGGGGCATAGTACTTAGTAAGTGGGGAATAACCATGGTTATAATCCACAAAAACCATGGTTGTAAGTCTCCTTTGAGTGGGTTATAACCAGGCTTACTAACCTTTCATCTGCTTAACCTCCCTGAAAAAGAACATCACATTTCCAGTAGCGAAATCAATTCCCTCCAAAAAACCAAGAGGGGAAAATCAACAAATCTTCACTTCAGCCAACGGAAGTAATTTTGCCACTCACCTGACGTACCGAATCGATCGCCCCTTCAAGTGGGGTGCTTCAATTGGACAAACGAACAAGCGGGGATACGGAGGGAACGGGGATATGGGGGGATTCCCTTGGCGCCATTTCCCATATCAAATTAGTCAAGGTGCATCAAACGGGGGAATCCTCCCGTATCCCTGGTTCCCCTGTATCCCTGCTACTTGGTTTAAATCCTGTACCCCCAGTGAACATCCCAATCCAACCACTAAAATAGGTTCTAGAATGGGTGGTGCACAGATCCCCCAAAAGGTGATCCCAAAACGGTTTTGACCACCACCGCCAAGTCTCCGAGGCTTCAACCCCCCCCCCCGCGCCGATGTCCGCGCGGCCGAGCCGAAAAAAATCCGGCGCCTCCAGGCGGCCCAGCTCGTCGCCCGCGGCGGCGAGCTGGGTGACTTTGCCCAGCCGGCCGTTGAGCTGCTGACCCGCCTTTGAACAAAACCCACAGACTCACCGATCAAGGGAGCCAAATCAATATATATATACATATGTATGTATATATGTGTATATATATACATATATATATATGTGTATATATATATACATATTTGTGTGTATACATAAATATATACATATATATACACAGTATACATGTATCTGTATTTAGGTGTTTGTTTGTGTGTTTGTTTTAAGGTGCTTGGGAGACGAAAGGAAGCCGACCATATCAGGGTCCGCCCAAATCTGATGCTCAACCCAGGTCAGGCAAATATGAGTTACAACCCTGCCCTATGGGTGCTAACCCCAGCTATCCCAGTTAGAACCATGGTTATACCCGAACGGCCACCCCGGATTAATAACTCCCTGGTTGACTGATAGGGGGTGTCCGCCTTCAGTGGGGATTCACTACTTTTGGAGGGTAACACCCTCTTTTAAAAGGATACTTTCTAAATCGTTGTCAGCATTCCGAAGTGGGCGTTAAAACCCTCGTTTCTCCCCTTGATTGGTTTGAACGGGGAATCACATATCCATTTTAACCCAGAAGGAAACCAACAACTTGCATAGCAACCAAAGCCCTGACTAGGGCTCTGCCAAAATGGGCTTGCTTTCCTTTTGGTTTCCCAAAGCCCCAAAAAGGGTATCCACTACAACAATAATAATACAAAAAAAAAAAGACAGAGGTGGGCCAACCTCCTCGAGCATGTTTGACGTATAGGCTTAAACATGTTGCATTCTTCCCTCTGCTTCACCCTCTTCTGTCAGGTCTTACGAACCTCCCCTTCCTCTTGAAGATGGTGATTTCGCGGGTGATTTTGGACAAGAGGCATTTCTTTTGAGAAAACATTGCAAGGAAGAAACCCTTCGAAAAAGAGTTGACCTTGGGAAAACCCTACTGGAGGTCTTGGTATGTCTTGGTATTCCCCACCTTTTTCCCTTTTACCCCTCCAAAAGTCCTTTGATCTTGAACCAATGCTGTACACGGCACGTGTCCCGCCACCTTGTCATAACCCTCCAAAAGCTGTGGAAAAGGGGGGAGCACCGCCTTTGGAGGTCTACCCAGCTTCCATGAGTGTTTTTTTAGCCCCTTGGAAAAGATGACATATACTTCCAGTGGTGAAATCGAGTCCCTGTAATACCAAGGGTGGGGGGTGGGGGGGAAAACAAGATTTGTGCAGTAGTGATAGATTGTAGAGTCCCTTGAAACCAACCAGGGAAAATGGCAAAGCGCTTTGGAAGATATTAAATTGGGATTTGCAGGGGATGCAAAACAACGCCTGGAAAAAGGCGTGTCTTTTTAGAGGGCACGCGTTTTTGCTGTTGGAAGCCACTAACAGAACCCGAGTTCCTCCTGCCTCCGAGGTAAGCCCCTGCAGCAGCACGCGGTCCCCCACAACAAGAAAGGGCGGGCTCATGGCTTCGGCGATCGAAACTTCCGCTTCCGGGTTTGCGGCTGCGTCTCTTCTCGTGGACTCCTAAAATGGTGGTGGCCGTTTTTATGATCCTCCTACCGCCGGTATCTTCAGCTTCCCTCAAAAAGGTTGGAGCCGGGTGGTTTTGGTGCTTGGGTGGGAAACCCTATTCTACAAGAGCCAGGAGGGGCTATCCCCAAAGCGCCAATACAGCCACCAACTAAAGGTTATGCTTGCAGAGGAGCTTAACTCGAACCAGGTGCTCTTTGCCGGATTTGAGAGGGACAAACTGCATGGGCCTGTCTCGGGGAACTCAACAAATGGGCGGTGTTCCCTTTCATTCTCCTTCCACGTGACCCCTGAAAGGGACATTTTATATCCGTCGCCTTTTTGCATCACCCCCCAAAGGACGCTGAAGAAAGATCAACTCAAATGGTAATGTTCAAACTGCCGCACACGGAGCATCTATATAACCCATCACGCGGCAACTATGGCTGGCAATGACACCGGTCGCGCGGAACGTAGCAGCTTCGCCTTTGGCCCTTAGGCAGTGACCAGCCAATTTTGTTGGGTTACCACTAAACCAAAGCAAAGCCACCCATAAAAGTGTAATGTGTGCTGACTGGCTTGGTGACACTTGACTTGATTTCTTTCAGAAACTGCTTGTCTCAAAGCCGACAAATCTGTAGTGGTGCGAATCATTCCACCAAAACCTCCGCATCTCGCAAGCCGCTTTGGGCTTGCCATGGCTGGCTTGATGCACGCGCAAGTGCAAAAAGAGCTGAAACGAGGGTTCCCAGGCTTGTTGTGGCTTCGTACAAGAACCTTTCCTTCTCTGGACCCACATAGCGACGATGAGAAGCAAAGCAAACCGGTTCGGGTGGGTTTCCACTCGGGCAATCCGAACCAATTCAGTTCCGTGACCATTTAAAGGGAACGTGGGCTTCCACGGGCCCAATGGCTATCAAATACCTTTGGGTTGCCATTTCACAAATATCCATTGGGTTTTTCCTGGAATTGGGCTTGATCAAACTCTTGGAGCCTCCAAACAATCAACATGTTTCTAACATGGCGGGTCGATTTAAAAGGACAATGGTCTTCCAGGACCCCCCGAACGTCAGGTTCCATGTTTATTGCTTGGAATCTGGGCAAACTTCGAGAGGAAATTTGTTTGGGGTCCACCGACGGTTCAAAAACATGGAGCCCAAAGTGGCACCTTGGCAAATGGTTCCCCAAAGATCAACACCTGCCATAGGTGTCCTTTTAGGGGAAATAGATGGCCCTGGTAGATGATTAAACCACCAGATAAACCCAAACCACCTATTCTTATACCAAAACAACCAAAAAGGACACCTGTGACACCTGCGTATCCCCAGCTCTTTCATTTTGAGCCACACCCAAATGTCAGCACTGAGCTCGCGTCGTCGTCTTCGGCAAGGAGGAGAAGTAGGTCTCCACGATCCGTACCTCTCGAGAGGCTCCAAAAGAAGCGGACCAGGTGCCATTTTGGTGTCTTTTGTGTGGGTAACTACCCTTTTCTGGTTGGTTCGAAAGGGAAACCAAAGGGAACAGCGCCACAATTGGGGTCACCCGTTTTAAGACACGCCCATTTTTAGGTTGCAGTCAAAGCCCCGGGTAAGTGAGCCAGAAATGGGTGAAGCTCTTATGAACCTTGTCATGGTTTGGGTCCCTGGAGTCTCCTGCTATCTGAAATTCAAAAACGGAAGCCACGCCGTTTGGGTAACCCCATGTTTGAGGAGCCAGAAGGAGACTTCAGGCATAGGTTTGGACTCATTTGAGTCGACCCATGGGTTGGAGTCTGGGACTTGGACCAAGCTTTGACCTCAGCTTTTCGGACGCCAAGGCTATGGTGGTGTTCATTTTGAAGGGAAAGCAATTGTTTGATCCCCAAAAGACCATGATCCCCCCCAAAAAACGGGGGAAAAGTTGGTGCCAGTGGGCCATGGCCCCCCCTTCTTGGGGACCTAGCTACAGGGAACGGGATCCGATCCTGGCGCGTGAGGCACATTTGAGGCGTCTTACACTTTAGTAAATGCAAGTTCAATTCTATTGGGGTGCAAGCCTTAAGTATCAAAGTCTAGATGTGATTTCAATTTCAATTTCCTGCTATATGGCTGTGGCTCAAAAAACCGGTACCCAAAATGGACGCCTGGTAAGAGGGAAACATGGACCAAAACCTGTAAAAAGAACTTAATAAGGAACACAATCGATTATACGTTGTATCTCAAGCCGAGTCTCCAGCTAGGATTTAATTAGGACCGTCTTTCCAAACTGGGTTTTGATGAAACTATAACACTCATTCAAGACGACATACTTTCGTAGCTTTAAAAATTAGTAAGCAAGTTCTAATTTAACTGGCCATCAAGCCCCTTGGAAAGGAACTGCTTGTCCAAACCAAACCTCGGGCTTGACGAGATATTCCGAACACAGCTCAGGGTCTGGAGCCCTGGGCTCGGCCGTGCCTCCCTACTGACTGGGAACTTGGCGAAGATGTGCACAACTTCCCCTCATATCTGTAACATTTGTTTGGGCGCAGGTGGGGGAAGCGGGGTGACGACACCGCTGCGAATACGTCCACCGAAAATGATAAAAATATGTCCAGTGCTAGATTCCCTGAAAGCAAAACGTGAAATAAAGATATTCTTGAGCAAATGGAAGGAAACAAGCAATTATTCATCCCAGGTGTCAAATGGCCCCATACCTCAGAAAAGGTCACTTAACAAACCATTTGATTGCCATTGGGTGGGTTCCTTGGAAGATTCACAATGTGGGCCATTTTGCGCCATGAAATTGGACGTTGGATGTGCTTCCCACAGTCCGACTTGTCTGAATGGTATACCCATTGACCAACCAGGGGACTGCTCTGCCCTCCATGCGCTTTGTTTGCCCTGGAAACAAATCCTCCAGCGAAAGGGTTCATTTGAAACCCGAGGAAAATGTCAATTCTGAAGCGCAAACGGAGATCGCGTCGTGGCGTTGAGCCTGAAGCCATGAACCTGATCCGTTGCTGGAGCCGGCTTGGGGCTGCCCGTCTCCAACCGCCCGCTTGGGGCAGTGGCAAGTGAATGTTGTAGGTCTTTGGACATGGCTGTGGATGTCAAAAGTAGGGTAACTCCAAAATGGCTTGCCCTGATAAATGGAACCAAAGACTGAAACCCGCGGTCCATATCCTGGTGGCTTAATTTTGACCCACAGCCACATTTTTTCACGCAGCGCCGTGCCAGAAGAGACAGCGTGGTTGCCGGTTGAAGAAATCGCCTTCACGCAGTCCACGCCGGCCGTGTCCCAGCTCTTGCCGGAGGTCGTGCAGCCCAGAAGCTCAGCAACTTGATGTGCCTTGAAACTCGAAACGACATGCCTGCCTTGTGACTAGGATTTTCAGGGGAGCCGGACAAATATGCCATCTACTTTAGTCAGAATCGGAATCACTCCGATAATTTCCGAGAAATTGCGTTAATTCGCAATCCCCGTGTGTCAATAGTAGATGGCTCCCCGGTATTTTTTGAGCCGTGTCCAAAACACCCAGGCTTGATGACAATCCCGCACCCCAGGTTCATCGATCATTTCACATTTGGGTATGGCTTTCTTTTCGGGATACCCTTGTGCAGGCTTGCTATCAAGAGAAACCAGAGGGAATGTTCCCTTGGGTTCAACCGACGCAGAACCGGCCCGTCAAACATCAGACACCCCATGGATTTATTGGGACTGAAATACCGCGAGCGGCTCAGAACTTCGGCCCTTTGAGCAACATGGTACCCCTGTGCTTAAAACTATGCCAGGTCCTCCAGTAGAGAGGTTAGAATAAGGGTACCCTTTTTATCCGTACTCTATCTTAGCAGGCGAGCCCTCCCCCAGAAAAGGGTGAGCAAGGGCACCACTGGGGACCTAGCATCAGAGCTGAGATTTTTTGCGTTGAACCTGGAAAGTGGCACATTGCTGTTCGAAACTGGCCGGCCTTTGCGCTTTCGCACCATCGGTCTCGAATTCGCGGACCTCCCGGCCTGTGGTACTTGAGCAGCTCGAAGCCCAGGGCGGGGCTTAGACATAGAGAATCACCAGCAGCAGCAAGAGGATGGGCATCTGAGCCAAAGTCAAACCGCACTCAAGGGGGATAGGGGCTCCTCTGCACGCAACGTGGAACTTCTGGAAGAGCAGGTTCCGCAAAAAATGGGCCATTTCTTTGGTGGAGACCATGTTAGTGGACGGGAGGGTAGTGGCCCTTCATCTGGTATTGTTTCGATGGGGCTTACAAGGCTTTGGCAATCCCAAAGGTCAGCCAGGGCGTGAACGCCCATGGCGTTGGGAATCAATGGGGCGGCTCGAGGGGCGCACTGCCAAAGTGACCGCCACTAAAGTGACATCGGCCAGATTGACCTCTAAATTGTGGTTTTCGAATAAGTTTAACAGGATGCCACCTTCATATATGAGAGCCCCCCAACATAGATTTTGGACCCCCCCCTGGTTGGTATCTGGGAAACCCAAAGGAATTGTTTAGGGACCTATTCCTATTTTGGGAACCCCAAAAAGAGTCGTGAGGCCCCCTCGAGATGCTCACTGGGAGGGAACCAGGCAGCCCCCCACCAACCTTCATCTATCCAAGTTGTCTCTCATATGCTGTGGCGGAACTTCCCTTTGGGCATCTGCAAATATCAGCCATTTTGTGAATGGAACATCCATGAAGATCCTAACTTGTCTGGGTGCGGAAACCAACAACCCGAAACAACAGTTCCTATTTGCTGGTGGTGTCCATTGAAACAATCGCCACTTTTGGAAAGGAATTGGAGGACACTCTGCTTGAGGGTACCTTTCGGGAACGGCAAAGTCAAACAGCATGTTGGAAAGGAACGCCAAAAAAATGTGATTCGCAGCATCTTGCGTTGGCCCCTTCGCAAACTGGGGCTTGCGGTTGTGCGGCCCGGTGGGGGCCAACGAGATTCCAGGGTTGGGGATGGATGCGAAATCCCGCGAGGCTCGCACCGAGAAAAGAAACCCGAGATGAGTCGATTCCCCAACGTAGATGCCAAGAAAGAAAGGTTTCAACCGCGGTTTCTTAGGTGGTGCAACATTCCGTCCATTCATGGATGCAAATAGATGCCAAAGCTTGCAATGCATTCTATACCCCGTATATATAGTAAATAACCTCCAGCAAAATCCATACCTGGGCACGTGCTTGAACATCGCTTCCAAACGGTCATATGATTCTTCGCTGGAGGCCATTTGACCGCCGGTGGCTTTCAGGGGGTCGTCCGGCCTCGGTTTGGCCATTGGGTGAAAGTAGATGGCAGAATTCCTGGTCGGTAAGTCACGAAATGACCAACCCAAAATGGGCTTGGATTCGAATTCCCAATCTTATTTCACCTTATCTCCACAGTTTTGGGGTGGGTGTTTCCTTTCTTCCACCACCTGGGTAGTTCTGAAACCTTCTCACCTGCGCCAGGTTACGGGCCCAGCCCCAAGCAACCTCTTCGTTTTTCTGTGTGCGGTGCCTGACCGGCACGGAGGCTGCGGCTGGACGCCTGGCCTCGGGGCCGAAGAGCGTGCCCAGCGCCGCAACCAGATCGCAGATGTGCCGTCCCCGCTACCCGGGGGTTGGGGGTGCGGCACCTTCAGATGTGGTACATATCGTCTAGAAAAACTTTGAAATCTGAAGATGCGTTCCTTTGGCTTGTCTCATGGCATGCCTCTCTAGCTCAGTTGGCAGTGGACTGTGTCTGCTCCCCAAAAGCGCGAACACCCAATTCTCAGGTCCCCAGCAAAGGAAACCAAGGTGGTCAAAGCCAACCCGACAAGACCCAAGCCCCCCAACCAGGGTCAAAACGAGGCCAACCACCAGTGCACCAAAGGCAAGATTCTTTCAGTAACCAAAATTAGAAATCCATCCACGACTCTGGATTAAGACCACAATTTCTTATTCCCCATCAAAACACGCGGTTTTCTTAACATACCAATCGACTGTAGTGAAAATCCCGGACCCAAACAAATGTTCCCTTCCTCCATTTGCTTAAGCACCCTGGAAATATATATATATATATGACCAATAATCATAGATTCCCTTAAAAACCAATAAACACATGCTCTGAAGCAAACTTCCCCTTGTATCAGCTAAACTGAGGCGGCGAAATGCTCGCCGCGCGCGATCTTTTTCTGCCGCGGCGCTTGCCCCTTTCGGCTTCGGTTTCTCCGAAGTTCGGCCGATCAGCGATAGCGGCGCAGGCGCATGAGGCTGTGGCGACCTCGGAACCAGTTACGGCACTCGCTCGCTCGTTTTGTTCGGGGGTTCGTTCATGGGACTGCGATATTTTTGGGTGTAAGGCGTGGTGGGTTTGAGGCTGCCCTTGGTTTCTTGGGCTGTGCTCAGATCTGCTAAAAGTGAATCACTCTTCGGTGGCTTCAATTCGGAAACCCACTAAACTCAAAACCCAACAGCCTGAGGGCTGGGAACAGCCGGGCTGGGAGCCAGGTGTTTGAGGCTGCCCTTTTCAGGTTGCATTTCAAGCTCAAAGGATCCCCGCCAATTTGGGGGGGTCCCTCTCCTTTTGTTGACACATACCGAGGGAAACCACGGATCCCACAAGTCTTTCGGGTCTTAGCCAACTGCTCGCTGGACAAAACAACATGAAACCACTTCTCCTGTCCAAAATCGGACGCCCCGAAAAAGAAACCTTCGCGTTGTCCATATTGCGGATGGTTGCGACATCCAGAAATCGCACCACGAAAGGAAACCATGGTTGAAACGACTGTTTGTTGTTTGTTGGTATTTGCAGAGGAATCAAATCATCCCAAATTTCTTAGGTGCTGCAGGACTTCGTCTATCAACTGTATTTTCCTCAAACCAGCACCGCTACCAAGGGAAACTGACCTTAAATGGGCCAAGCAAATGTTTAAGAGCACCTTTGAAGGGGCAATACAAGGCACCCTGACACAATCATGTAGATAAAAGAGCGGGTCAAAACAAGGAAGGGGTTCGATTCCCTGTGAACTCGCAAAACCCACCTCTTGTCGCGGACGGCATTTCCCAAATCCCCCCTCTTACCTAGGACGATCCACTTTTCGACTAACCTGACAGAACCTTCTCTCTTGGGGACATCAACAGGGGGTCTCTCTATCCACGGTAAGCACTTCTCGACGCTTCAACCCGGGGGGTTCTCTCATCTCTTGACTTGCACCCAGCTGCCCTCTTGGGGACTTTTTACACCGGATACCATGGGTCAAAATCCAAAGCGGTTAGCCCCCAGTGAACATCCGATTCAATCCAACCACTAAAATAGGTTCTAAAATGGGTGGTGCACAAATCCCCCAAAATGGGATCCCATTGGTTTTGACAACCACAGCCACTTGCCGTCCTTCATACGTCCAACGCCCACGCCGCCTCTCTCTCGGTTCGGCTCGAGTTTGCCAAGGAGCGATACACGGCGCGGGAGGAGGGGCGCTGCTTGTTGGCACGCTTGCCCTTCTTCAGCAAGCCCCGCGCCTCGCGGAGCAGTCAAACAACCACCCCCTCTGATGGCATGTGTGCCGCTCCAAATGGGAAAAAGTCTCAAAGGAATCGGACCCCCTTGCTTTTCATGTGCTTCTTTTTTAGGGAAATTAAAAAGGACACCACTTACCAGCAGCCTCGGGGTCCCCTATTGTAGGACATACCCAACTAGAGCTTCAGGGTTTTGCGGTTTTTTCCATTTAGTGACGTGGCGCCCCCCCTCTCAAGGTTGTGGCTTCCCGCATCACGAGAAAGCACCACCCCCTCTGCTCAGTGCAAAAAAGAATATGCGTCGCGAGGTGTCTAAGCTCTAACACTTCCAGGTTTTGGTCTCATCCTGGAAACCGGCCAAGACAAAGCCCAGGCCATGGGCCTCTGGTTCGCAACTCGTGGCTCAAAAGGTTACCATGACCCGGCCGCAGCAAGTAGCTAAAACAGTCAATCTGTCCACCTCACCCGACAAAACTAGAGTGGATGGACAAAAACCACCTCGCACCACTTCGTACTTAGGATAGATGAAACTCCAAAAAATAATCAAATCACGACCCTATCAGCTGGTGCAGGATTTGTCCATCCACAATGTAGTACGAGTTTGGGGTACGAGATCTCATTTTCCAGGTTTGTCGGAATTCTGTTCAGGCTGAAGTCGCCCTCAGCTTGTCGCTCCGCCGATCTTGCTTGATCCTGCTGCTTGAGGGGAAGTGGGGCATACCTCCAGGAGCGAAACCAGATTCAATCCATAGGGGGATTATTCAATCTCTTCCCAATAATGTTAGCCTCGGATGAATCTGGAGGACCGAACCAAAGTGTTTCGGGGGGTCCCTGATTCGCAGGATCCGGATTTCTCCGAAGTTGACATGACAGTCTGATTTGGCCATGACCTTCATACAACAGAAAGTCCTGGAACTGAGGTGATTTGTCCCTCAGTAGTTGCTAACCTTCAGCACACCACTTTGGTCGCGAACAAAAGGCTGGGCAAAACAAAGCCGTAACCCGCAAAACCCTCCAAAGGACCGTCCATTTTATTTTCAAGCTCTCCAAAGGAAGTGACTTGAATTTGAAACTCACTCCCAAGGACGTCCCTTTGCTCACCGAAAAAACATGCCGCCCCCCCCTCCCTGCACCCCATGACCCCCCCCCCCGGGGGTGTTTGGGGTCGCTCGTCGGACGTCAAAACGAAAGAACGACGAACGTCGCCAGGCCTTGCGGCCGGCCGCTGTGAGACCACGGAGCTCACGGTGCTTCATCACGGGCTTGCAGATCCTGCGGAAAAATCCGCCAAAGTGGCCCAAAGACCTGGCAGTTGGGTCTGTCCCTTCCATTATGGATAAGACCCCTGGAAAAAAAAAGAAGAAACTTCCAGTAGTGATAGCTTTGGTTGAAACGGACACCAACAGGAAACGCTCAAAGCCATTTTGGGGGGGTCGCCTATTCTAAGACACCCACCCAGGCACCAAGAAGTGCCCCCGAAATTCGAGGGCTGCCCGAGCCATTGGACCTGAACCAGTCAGATCCCATGTTGGGGCTTCCCCCAGTTTGGTGGCAAGAGGTCATCTCCTTGTATTTCTGGGCCCCAAAAGGGGCAAGTAAGTTCCCAACATGTTCCTCTTCCGGACAAAAGGGGCAAGATGGGCAAGGTTCCCAAAATTCCTCTTCCGGTGAACATTCCGAACTTTCCTGAGAACCTGCTGGGTGTACAATAGACCCCCCCCAAAAAAAATGGCAACGGTTTTCTCTTGGTCTGCCTTTTAAGCCAGGAACAAACCCCAGCCCTTAACAACTGGTGAACCTTCGAGCCTACAGATAGTTTGTGTTTGTCTTTGTTCGTCTTTTTTTGTTCCAGGGCAAAGATGTGTTGGAGTTTCTGAACCTTCACAAGGCATGGAAGGTGGTTTCAGCCACCGCTGGACAAAGACAGCACATGAAGATTGAACAGTTGAGTTGTTGGTCTTGAAGGAGTCCGGCAATCATATTCAACATGCCCATGCTTTTCCGAAAGAGCGTGTGCATTCTGTTTGTAGCAATAAATCATTCGCTCCTCCATTTGGGTGTGGGTCAAAAATAGGTACCCCCAAATGGAATCCTGGCAAATGGAAACACCTGCGGTCCCCTGATGGTTTAATTTTGAACCATCCCCATTTGGTGTCAACCGTGACTGATTTTGAGCATCTCCACAAGTATGCGTTTGGCAGAATACGTCTGGGAGGCACTTCGTAGCAAGCCAAAGGGAAACTAGCGAATGAGCCAGAGTCAAAAAACCCGGCATTAAAATGGTGAACCCAGAACCATGTAAAAAAATTAAGAAGGTGGATATCCGCAGCTATTTGTGGCTGGGATTGGCCCTTACTAACCTAACCATCTACCCGGGTTTTGATTGTGGCTCAGATCACCCTTGATTTTGGTAAGGCAAACCAAGAAACCGCAAGCCAACACTTGGAGGTCCGAATCCAATTCCTGAAAAACACTTACTCATCGAGGCGGCGAGCTTACTTTCGCTGGCGGAATGCAGGGATCTTCATTTCGCCCTGTCATGCGGTTTCTACCAAGTCTGTTGCAACCCCCCGCCCCCGGAAATGCAAAGCACCCACCCGCAAATGCAAAAACCAAGCCAAGATCGGAGAAGGATCATGGAGAATGATGGAAGGACATAGCAGGAATAGCCACTGCAGACGAAAAGTGAAAATCGTGGCCCGTGAAGGGCCACCAAGCTCTGCTCCCCTTTCGAAAGCGGGTCCAGTTGATGCGGGGGTCGTCGCGGATGCACCTGAGCAAACTCAATCGATACCCTCCCCCAGACGAGACCATGTGTGTGTGTGTGTGTGCAATGGCTTGCTTGCTTGGCTGTTTTTGTTTGCTTGTATCTTTGTGCGCTCGTTCGTTTGTTCATTTGTTCGTTTGTTCGCTTGCTCGTTTGCTTGCTTGCTCGTTTGTTTGCTTGCTTGGCTTGCTTGCTCGCTCGTTCTTTTTCGATGTTTGTTTGTTCGACAGTTCCTTTGTTTGTCTGCTTGCTTGCTTTTTGAGGGTATCTGTTTGACCTGGGTATCCTGAAAACCAGGGTGTTTCGCAGGACACTTCCACATGTTGTTCAAAATAAAAGATGCCTTCCAGAAGGGGTCTGCGTACCAAACCGTGCTTGAAGGCATTTCTCCCCAAACCGCCTCAGGTACCTCATGGGCACATAGACCTGCAATGGATCACTCTAGACAATGAGAAGAACCTCCTTTGGGGGCCGCATGGTTCTGGGAAACGAGCCAAGCTCTTTCTGTGATACCAACGTAGGATTTCTGTCCTCATAGGTCTCACATCCTAGTTAGACATTTGCTCAAAGGGGTACGGCTGGGGACCGCCAAGACATTAAAGGGCTTCACTTGGTAGCCACAAACAGTGACCTGAAAACTCCATATTTCCATAACCAAGCGCAAAGGACAGCATTTGGGAATGTATATAATAATAAAAAAGGAATTCCCTTCGAAGTCTATTTAGTTCAACTCCGATATCCTGAAAAAGCACACTCACACACACACACACACATCCATTTGCACAAAGCCGGCCAATGTTTTTTTTTTGACAGGTTGGTTTTAGCGGGAAACCAAAAGGAACACCAAAGCCATTTTGGGGGCCGCCCTGAAAAAAAGACACACCCGAATGGGTATGTTTTTTTTGAGTGGGAACCCTTTGGTGGAGATTAGCTAGGGATGTCCACCACTTCTGAGGGGGCTCCGAATTTTAACACCCACCCCCAAATGATGAAAGCCGTCAACACAGAGTGTCAAGCCAACTCAGTGACTATAAACTTGCTGGTTCTCAGTAGGGGATGACCTTCCGGGTGTTTGGAATGAACAGTTTGGGGATTCTCTTAGAAGAATCCAGAAGGGATGAGCTTTTTCTTGGGGTCATTCCGTGTCTCATTCCCTGCCTATCGAACCAGAAAGTAAGCCATTCCAACTCATCCCTGCCCTTCCCAGCAAAATATGTTCCGTGATACCGAGGTCTGCTGTGAGTGTTCCCTTGGTACAGAAAATGGGAGCAGAAGCCTCCTTTTCCATGAGTCCTTACAAGTTTGGGTGAATTCTTGCCTCCTGTGGATTGGAGGATTGTCCACTGATTTCCTTGGTACCGTGATGAACAAAATCCATTTGGAATTATTTTGAAACCCTGGGAACCATTGTTTGTTGGTGTTTACAGGGCAATCATCATGCCAGGCTTTCTTAGGCGGTGCGAAATGGTTTCGTCCATCCACCCAGGTGTCAACATGGCGGACCCCAAAAATGCATGGCTTGCCTTGTGCTTTCCCTTTGGACACATCTCAGAGGGGGTAACCTCAAAAAATACAGACCCACAAAGGCGCCGGAATACTAGCAATAGATGAATCAATCATCAGCAAAAAGGGTCACATGCACAGCTACGCTGGATGCCGTAAATTCTATCAACGAACCAAATCTGCTTTGCACCAGTTGGTTTTCATATCACTATGCTTCATCCACCCCAACTTCAGGAACTTGTCCATCTGTATTGAACCAACTCCACAACCTTCCCTAGGTCCAACCGCCTTCCATGCGGGTGCAGAGGATTTTTGTTTGTCCATCGCCGAATCGCCTTCCCGCCGGCCTTTTTGGCCGTTCAAAGCGCTTTGCGGCCGAGTGGCTTGTGGAAAGGATCCACCATCACCACCTCATACCACTTGTGCACCGCGTCCTGCGTTCCGAGCCGACTCCCGACCCCCCCCCCCCCCCACGGCTCGGCTTTTTCGGCGACGTGAAAAAAGCCATCCTTTGCTTTGCTTGCAAAGGGGTCAAGGAATTATGGGGCTCAAAGAATTTTATGGGGTCGCGGGGTGCGCCAAAGTTTAAATTGAGCCCGAAAAACAGTGCTGAAGAGCAACAAAAGGTCTATGTAGCTTCTGAGAAGGTCACGGACCCGGGCTCACCGGGTCTCACCCGGTCTCACCCGCCAATTCTGCTCAGTAGATTCTGGCCAATATTGTGGGTGTGTCTCAAAATGAGGGACCCAAAATGTGCGGTTTCCCAAGGGTTCGGAGAAAAAGAAGGACATACCCAAATTTCAGGTACTCATCTGCGGGTTTAACAAGACCTGACTTTAAAGCGATCCCCAGGCTTCTGGCCCCACCGAGCTTCCCGCATATCCTGCTTCGCACCACTTGGGATAGATGAAACCCACATAACGGGAGCCACCAATCCCAGCTAGCGCATTTTGCGGATTTTGTATCCATCCAGTATCACCTGGATTCCCTTTCACTTATGGAGATGTGCGGGTATACCGGGTATACCTTTCTATGTGTGGTCTTTTCTGCTTGATCCCAACTCCTAGACTCCCAAACCCCAAGGGCCCACCAGCTAAGGGCCCCTGAAAGCCCCCGCATGAGACACCCCGATGAATGTCAACTATTTGCCGTTGGCTTTAAACGAGCCCACAAACCACCCGGCCATGAAACAGCCTTCACAAAAACCTGCCATCCCAAAAAATCCAAACGTATGCAAAACCATCCGAACTCATCAAAGTTAAGGAGGGGATTGTCTAACCACGACTGTAAACGCAATGTGGAACCGTGACACAATGTCCATTCTATTGTGTGAGTCGTTGTTCTATGTTTCCTCTCGTTGTTTCTTCTGTTTGTCGGTGTTCCACCTCCCTCTTCAGAGTTCAGTCAAAACCATCCCAAATATCAGACAAGGCACATGGTTTCACCCACTTTCGATCTATGACTCACTTCTTTCCCCTGACCCACTTCAGTCCTGGGCCACCCAGTAGGAGTTCAGCACGCGAAGGCCTCAAGCCGAGAGGATCGATCCAACACTTTCAATTTCGCAGCAAATGGGTATGGCTCAAAATTGAATCCATCAAATGGGTATGGGTATGGGTCAAATGGGTATGGGTATGGGTATGGACCACTGGAGGATGGCAGGTAGTAGTCTTTGGCTCCATTTACCAGGGCAAGCCGTTTTGGGGTTACCCTATTCTTGACCCACAGCCAAATGGAGGTTGAAGGGGGGAACCTCCAAATGTGCCCTCCCAACAGCTAATATGGAAGTGCACAGACCCCTGTAGAAAGACCACTGTCCTCTTGGAAAGTGCCTTGTTGCACTTCCATGTTAGTTGGTTGGAGGGTGGCCTTCTCGTTTCAAGGGAAACCACAAGTCAATTGCAACTGAAAAGGAAAGCCACTGACCTTGTCATGGGTTTGACGGTTTCTGGGGGTGATCAACGTCAGAAAATGGGGTTGTTTCCCTGTTGACCTACCACTTAGGGGGTGGCTTTGATCATGGTGAAGTAACCTCCATGTGCGTGTTTCGTCCTCTGGACAAAAATTGGAAACAAGCATACCCAGTGTTGGATTCCCTGGAAAAAAACTATAACACGGAATCTTAAGAATGGAAGCCAAAGGAACAGAAATTGGAGCCTTCAAGGGCATTGAACAAAAAATATGGTTCAATACGATATCATTTTTGGGGAAGTGCCCCTTTTAGTTGGTCCATGATAGCAGGAAATCCAGGGGCTTCGGTCACCAGGGGTTTGACCCACGGCTATAAATTACCATTGTCCAATCAAGGGCTTCGCTTTAAAGGGGCGGCGAAAAATGAAGCAAGCATGTTCAAGCGGCCGAATACTGAAAGCACATGGTGTATATCATATTGTAAGAAAGCAGATCGACTCTGGATTGGCCACCCAAGGAAAACCGGGCAGTGAAACTGCCTTCTGATTTTGTACGGGTGTTGGCCCTTGTGAAGAATAAAAGGGTTTCTTGCCGGCTTGTCTTTATGAGATGACCCTGAGTGGAACCTTTCTCCAAAACAACTCCCGACATAAATCAAGAAACAAATTCGCAAAGGCCCATCCCAAATTCATATGTGGGAAAATGTGTCCACATGATTGGTTGCTCATTTTAAAGGCACTTCGCCAAACTAATGCCAGAAAACTGGCACGAATATCTTACAATCATCAAAGTCAACCTCCAAGTGGTAGGTCAAAAGGAGGCGACTGTTGGTGACCTTTAAACCAGGGTGACAAAGGCACCCTTTCAAACTGTGAAGAGTGCACTCAAATTTCATGAGCATGAACGACCAACTGCAACGTTGGCTCAAGACGCATCGGAAAAGGGTGCGCGTTAGTTTTTACCCCAACATAACCGCAGGTTATGAGCCCAAGCCAGCCATGATGCGCAGGCGAAGACAACAACAAGATCTTGTTCGTGAAGGAGAAACCGCCGACCAGGCGCTGGACAGGATGATCCGCGAGCATGGGTCTTCCCGGAGGGCAAGGTCGGAGAACCTGGGGGAGAGGCGCGATCTTCGGAGGATGACAGCCGGTGGGGAGCCGGCGGTTCGGGAACCCGAGGTGTGGACGCTACCTCCGGGACTACATCACGGAGATGAACATGGTGCGGGAGGGGCGGGAGACCGTGGCCCACCTTTGCCACCTGGAGAAACGGGAATGGAGAGGCCGGGCCAACATCCTGGAGAAGGACAAGCCCGGGGCAGTCGTGATGGGCAAGGTCCGGGACAGCAAGAAGGGCAGGTTCGCGGCCAGGCAACTCATCACAGGTTGGATGAGAATGATGGTGACGGGACGGGAATCCTTGATCCTCGGCGGTATCAAGAGCCTTGTGGAGATCCTGGGTTTCCTGGAGGGCATGATCAAGCCTTTCGTGGAGGCCATGGACGTGGGTTTCCTGGAGGGCATGATCAGGCGGACCATGGAGGCCATGGACGTGGGTTTCCTGGAGGGCATGATCAGGCGGGTCGTGGAGGTAGGGGACATGGGTTTTCCGGAGGCCATGATCAGGGTGCTCGTGGAGGCAACGGATCCGGACCTCCTGGAGGGCACGATCAAGGCATTCGGAGAAGCAGCGAACTAGGTCTGCTTGGAGGATTGATGGAAGTCCGGCTCAGGCAGTTGGAGCCCTATGCCAATTGGACGCCGCAGAACGACCTCTACAAGACGGCGTCGGACGGAGGAGCAACTGGTGGTCCGGTGCCACCGCCTCACCCTGAAGCTGTGAGGAACTTTGCCCATGGATGGGCCACTGAGGATCGACCTCCTCCACCGCCGCCTCCACCGCCTCCGAGACCGATTGAAGGAGGTGGTGAAGCTACGACGGCCTTTAGATTGTCGGAGGCCCTGAGGAATTTGGAGCTTCCTAGTCTACCCCCACCCGGAGGCGAGGGGTCGTCGCTGCAATTTGGAGACTGGGTGACCCGCTGATGTCAGACATTGCGGGATCGGCCAGGCTGTGGTGGGAGCAGGTCCTGCAGAAGGCGGAGCTTACCTAGGCGGAGTGGCTTACGGCGACGCCGTTGGAGAAGCTCCGGTTGAAGCCCACGCTGGGGGATGTTGAGGCACACAATCACCGGGTTGAGCAAAGGGGATTGTCGATGCTACTGGCGGCCTTGCCGGACCCCATTAGGAGGGAGATCATCTCTGCCCGCATGATGTCCGCGACGGAGATCATGTTCCGGCTTCACCAGGTGTATCAACCTGGAGGTACCTCGCAGAGGGGCAACCTGTTGAAGCACCTTACCGACCCAAAGGTAGGGGCTAACCTGTGTGATGCTCTGCAGACCTTGAGACTGTGGAGGAGATGGTTGGCAAGAGCTGAGGAGTTGGATGTGGCGCTTCCAGACGGGCTGGTGCTGATCACGGTCTTGGGAAAGATCGCAGAGGTGGTTGGCGAGCCTGCTGAAGTCCTTGAGGTCAATCAGGGCGTTGCAGATCAAGTACGCCGCGGCCGAGAAGGAAGCGGGGAAATGCGGAGAAGTGGAGCCGGTGGCGTTATTGGATGGCGGAGCCACTCACGCACTACGACAAGCTAGACCGCATGAGAGGGACAATCTCACCGCGGTGGAGGTGGAGCTGGCCTGTGGAAGTACGGTGCTGTACAAGCATGCCGGAACGTCTGCCATTTTGACGCTGGAGCCGGTGGAGCCCATCATACCGCTGAGGATGTTGGTAGACGCTGGATTTGTGGTGAGGTGGAATGCCAAGGGGTGCATCATTGAGCACCCCGGCCACGGAAGGCTGCACTGCTGGCTGCGGTATGGCTGTCCGGTCATGCGAAGGTCAGAGGCGATGAAGCTGATGGACTTCTTGGATGCCCCGGAGAAGGCGGCTACGGGAACTATGGATGAGGAGCGGTGGCAGCGATGGTTTCCGAGTATCCCGGATGAGGTCCTGAAGCTCATGGGCCGGGTGGAAGGAGAAGCAGAAGTTGCCGCACGATGCCCCTTCAATCGGAGATTGAGGAGGAAGTGGGAAGCGAGCAAGGGTGTCGTGGTGCATCTTTTCGCTGGCCGTGATGCCAAAGAATGGCGGAAGGAGGATTGGGGCGGCTATGAGATCGTCACGATCGACATAGAGGAGGACGTCAGGCAGAATCTTCATGACGGTGCGTTGTGGGGATACCTTTGGAGCCTGGCGGAGAAGGGGCTGATCAAGGCAGTGGTGGGAGGACCGCCGTGCCGAACTGTGTCGAGATTGAGGCATCACCAGCCTGGACCCCCACCTCTGAGAGGACGGGACGTTCACAGGTTTGGCCTTCCTGGCCTTTCGGAGGAAGACAGGAAGAAGGTTAATGGGGACACGGCGTTGTTCTTCAAGCAGATGGGCCTGTGGCTTCGGGCGCAGGAATGCTCCGAGGAGAAGAAGGGACCTGTGGGCTTCTTGCTGGGGTTCCCCCCATGGACCCGATGGAGTATGATCCCAGAGCGGTGGAGCTGGACGTGCCTTCTTTTGGAACTTCCGGCAAGTCCAGGACTTTTGCCAGGACAACATGATGGGCCTGGTGAGCTTTGATCAAGGAGCAGCGGGTCATCCGAGGAGAAAACCCACCACGAGCTCCACGGAATGAAGGGCCAGGGTCATCAAGAGATGGAGGGCGACCTCCGCAAGAGGCTGGTCCAGATGAAAACCTGGGCGAAATGGGCGCCTGGGCTGGTGGCGGCCATCAAGATGTCCCTCAAGGAGCTGGTCAAAAGGCTCGAAGAGCGGAAGGAAGAGAAAACTATGGAGACAGGGGATCTCAAGTGGGGCGGGGGCACACTCCGTTCAATCGACGGTGCCGTATTTGTATGCAGGAAGGCTGGAGTGGACCGGCAACATCGGAGATTGAAGGCGGACATCCCGTCCTATGTCCTCAACGTGGACATTGCTGGGCCGCTTTCGACAGGGGAGGACGTCGGAACGGGCAGAAAGGTGAAGTATGTGCTGATTGGGACGGTCCCGATCCCGCTTGGAGCTGGGGACAAGGAGCCTTCAGAAGCAGCCGAGCCGGAGGAGGAGGACCCAAATCCAGCAGACTGGGAAGAGGAGGAGGATCAACCCCGTGCATCAGATGAGGAGGCCAAGAGGCTCAACGACAAGGTTAAGGACGAGATGACCGACGCTATGAAGGGCGTCGCGGTGCAGAACGTCACGATGGCGGAGGTGATGGAATCGAGGAGCGCCAGAGAGGTCATCAGAGCCATCAGCCTGATCTTTGTGAAGTATCGCAGCCTGGGCATCCCGCTGTACCGCATGCATTGCGATCGGGCAAAGGAGTTCCTGGCGAGGCCGGTGCAGCAGTGGTGCTTAGAGCACAATCTGTTGCTCACCATGACGGCGGGCGATGACCATGCGGCCAATGGACGAGTAGAGACGGAGGTCAACCAGGTGAAGAGAAGGCTGCGAGTGGTCCTCAAGGATTCAGGGGCTCCGGTGAAGCTGTGGCCCACGGCACTACGACATGTGGTGCTTCAAAGGAACCAGATGCAGCTCCAGAAACTTGGGGTGGACACCTTCCCGATGCTTCCGTTCTACTCCAAGGTGATGGCGAAGACAAAGCGGTGGCATAAGAAGGGCCCCCTGGCTTCTCCATTTCGAGAAGTACGCCTACTGGGTCCTAGTCCAATGATGAGTTGGGGCTGGGTGGTTCAGACAGAAGACGGGGCCATCCAACACACCAGGGCGGCTGTTCTGCCCGACGAGGAGGCCGACCACGCAAGGGACCTGGAGGCGGGAAGAGTGAGGTATGAGTTGGAGATGGATGAACATCCAGGGAAACCGAGAACGCGGTTGACGGGCAAGCAGAGTCTGGATCCAGGCCCTAAACTGGGGGGAGACGGAGAAGAAGGGCATCCAGCGGCAGATGGAGAAGGTCTGGCACCCGCTCTATGTGAACTGCGAACGGGGGGGGAGTACACCTCTCCATCAAAATCATGGAGTTTTGAAGAAAGCCTGGAGGAGACGAAGAATCTCATGAGCAGCTACCAGTGGGGCTTTAAGGAAGCACTGGCGGAGGAGCTCAAGGTGATCCCCATGGATGAGATCACCGGGAATGGTCAAGGAGCAGCGATGGAGTTCCTCCTGGGTGGCATCAACCAGCTGGAGGATGACCTGGTGATCATGCAGGACCGGGAGAATAAGGACTTCCACAAGCTGGCAGGACTGCAGGGAGCAGATGGAGAAGAACCGGCGAAGGTTCTGCAAACCTACACGGTGCCTTTGCAGGAGGTGCGGAAGGATCTGGAAGCATGGAGAGAGGCCATGATGGACGAGTATCGCTCTCTGGTGAATACAGAGGTGGTCAAGCCCACCGACGAGTGCGATCTGGCGGCGGTTCCGGGGATTGAAGATGCCGAGTACGCCCCGGGGAAGCTGGTCACGACCATCAAGGCCCCGACAGGAAGAAAGAGGGCGAGAGCGGTGATATGTGGCAATTTGCTGGCGGACGGCAACGGCAAGGTGGCGCGGACCTCGGCGGACAAGGCCGAGAACTATGCCGGGGGCATCGACGGGACGGCTCTGAGGTGCGTTCTAAGAAAGGGAGCCCACGAACAGTGGTCCTTGGCAACGATGGATGTGAAGTGCGCCTTCTTGCTGGCGCCCCGGAAAGAGACCCGGCGAACTCTTATCACAAGGCCCCCGAAGGTTTTGGTGGAGGCTGGGATCGTCAAGGCGTCGGAGCGGTGGTTGGTTCAAGGAGCCATGTACGGCTTGGACACCAGTCCAGCAGATTGGTCAGCGTTCCGAGATCAAGGGCTAGCGGGCTTCACCTCGCAGGATCGGGGGAGGACCTATGGCTTGGAACGGACGCCGGAAACCAGTGTATGGTCTATGGTGGAGTTTGAGGCCGGGGCTCGCAAGGACCCTAAGCCCTGCGGCCACTTGGTGATCTACGTGGACGACTTTCTGGCGGTGGGACCTACTCCCTTGGTGGAGAATGTCATCAAGAGGATCAATCAGGAGTGGGTTTGCAGCGCGCCGGAGTGGGTGAACAAGGCAGGATGGACGAAGTTCTGCGGAATGGAGTTGAAGTGGGACGAGGACGGTGAGACTGTCCGGGTTGCACAACCCTCGTACATCTCGGAGCTGATGCAGCGTCACGAGGTGGTGATGGCCAAACCGGCCCCGTTCTACAAGCCGGAGGTTCCTGAGAATCCGGTGGTCACGCAAGATGGCATCCGGGAGGCGCAGGGACTGGTTGGAGAATTGTTGTGGGTGTCGGTACGCACCAGGCCGGATGTGGCATTCGGGGTTTCCTGGATGTCGCAACATGTCACCCGTTGCCCTTTGGAAGTCGTGAAGGCTGGGAAGGACATGATGGCCTACCTTTACGGCACGAAGGACTTGGGACTGGTCTATGGGCGCTGCCTGGGAGACCGAGGAGCAGAAGGGGATCTTCCTTTCGCGAGATCGATGAGGCGGCTGGAAATGTACGCGGACATCTCTTTTGCGCCGCAGGGAGAGAAGAGCCACCAGGGAGTTTTGGGATTCTATGGTGGTGCCCTCGTCCAATGGGAATCAGGTCGACAGCCTTTTTGCACCCTCAGCACGGCAGAGGCGGAGTTGGTGGGCTATATCGAGGCCATGATCATGGGAGACTCCCTCTGTGCCATCCTGGACATCACCGAAGGGGGATGCTGGAGCGCCAAGGAGGCGGAGCGGGTGATCTACGGGGACAACACGGCGGCCTTGGCAATCGTGCAAAGTCCTTCGGGACCGTGGCGCACACGGCATTTGCGCCTTCGATCCAACGTGCTGCGGGAACGAGTGCGAGAAGGGGAATGGCAGATCAGAAATTTGCCGGGTAGCGGGTTGGTGGCTGACTACCTCACGAAGGCGGTGGCGGCGAGGACCCAATGGCTTCGGTTCTACTCCATGGCGGGCATGATCAAGGAGAGTCGGAGGTGGTTTCGCGGCCAGGACCAGGAGAAGCAGATGGTGGTCGGGCCATCGGCAAGGAGGCAGCGGTGAAGGTCGCTGCGATGAGTGGGCTGATGGGCATCATCGCCTGCTGGAAGCCTCAGGATCGGGGATCGTGTCTGATCCGGGATGTATGCTTGGCATCCCTTGGAGTGGGTGTAGGATTCGTGTTGAAAGGCCAATGGGCCCAACCCAAGAGGGAAACAAGATCGGCTAGGGAAAATGAACCAGCCGCACATGCGGACAACCAGATGAGGGTTGCAAAGATGGTCAGGGAAGATGAACCGACCACATTGGAGGACCCCTCTGTTTGGAGAAGTGCCTCTGTCAGGGAACATGAACCGACAGAGAAGAAGATCGCCAGGGAAAATGAACCGGCGACGACAAGAAGGGCTAGGGAAGATGAACCAGCCCCAGAGGTCAACATCTGGGACGCCTCCCGCCAGCCGTTTGACCACTGCCCCATGGGCTGCCCTTTGCTTTTAGGACTAGGTCAGAAGCAGGACGAGGTTCCTGCCATGCCATGGCCAGAACGCCCGTCTGGGTTGGTGCAGAACTCGGTGGAGGAGGAACCGGAGGACTTTTGGGAGGTGACCTTTGAAGAGACAAGGATCGTGGCGGTCCGCATCCATATGCTCAGACGGAACCGGGATTTTCAACCGGATCCGGCGGCTATGCCGCCTGGGGTCAACATCAAGACCGGAGGTTGAACCATGTGGTTTTTGTTGACCAGGAGCGCGGCAGACGGACCTTCGTGGACAATTGGAGGCAGGACACCTTTCGGGAGGCCCACGCCTGGACGGGCTCGACTACGTTTTGGGTGCCGCTCAGGGGCACCGTTTCGTTGGCAGACCTGGGGATCGATGAGAACCCGGGAAGTCGAGATCGGAGCCGCAGCCCTCGAGGTCGAGATGACAATGACCCTCGCGATGCTGGCCCTGCTCGTCCTAGGAGCAGAGAGGAGCCCAGCAGCAGTCAGGGTGATCGTCAAGTTCGACCCAGGCTCCGGGCATTGCGTTGGAAGAAGGAATCAGAGGAGGAGGTGATTCGGGTGGAGCAGGAGACGAAGCCGAATCCGCAGAAGGAGGTTGGCGAGGACCAGACAGTCCACGGGACCCCGTGGGAGCTGGAGAAGTACAAGGTGGCCCCGCCGGTCAAGGGCAAGGACCGGTGGGATTGGTCGGTGCCGGGATGGGCCATTCGAGCTCATGGGAAGCCGAGGAAACGAAGGTTCCACCCAATCCATCGGGAGTTTCCGGTGGATGCAGTGGACCTGGAATCAACCAGGACCACGGTGAAGCTTTTCGCCGGGGAGTCGGGGTTGGGCCTCAAGCGCATTGAGGAGGATAGCTGGACTGCGCCGCAGGCAAGGCAAGCCACCTCCAAAATGCAGCAGTGGCGAGGATACACGTTCTTCAAGATCAAGGAGAAGAAGGAGAGGCAGTCTCCGGGAATGCAGGAGGAGGTTGTGAAGGAGAAGGCATCGTCTTCGTCGGCTCGGGCAAGGACTTGGGAGGTGGGGTACGTCAAGGGTGGCCCAGTTGAGAGAGGAGCTGAGGCAGGCCCGGTGGCGTTTTTTCCCAAAGCTGGGAGCGAGCCTGATCCACCTCAAGAGGAGACCTCAGAGTCCTCGGGGTGGGACCAGGTCTGATGGCGGTGTGGCAAAATGCCACAGGGGGAGTGTGAAGAGTGCACTCAAATTTCATGAGCATGAACGACCAACTGCAACGTTGGCTCAAGACGCATCGGAAAAGGGTGCGCGTTAGTTTTTACCCCAACATAACCGTACAAACAAAACAAAAAAGCGCGGCATCATCCCTTTTCTTTTCTCACCTATTTTCTCACCCATTATCTCCTCCTCATCCTTAAACTTCTCCCTAGTGTTAACCCCAGATTCATTAACCCCGGTTAATCAATAGGGGGTCTCCCCTGTAGTGGGGTTTCAAACCACTTTTGGAGGGGACACCCTCCTATCAAAAGGACGGATTCTACTTAGATCCGGGGTCATCTTCACCCCCACCTCCCCCAATGACCCAAGTGGGTGTGTCTCAAAGTAGGATGGCAAGGATTCCTTTTGGTGTCCTTTGAAAAATCACACCAAAAAAGGGTTCCCTAACAAACAATATCCCCACCCTCAATTTCTGCCTTTCAACTTTCTCACCCCTCCTTTCCTCCTTACCCTTAATCTTGTGTGCTGTTGACCCCTCTTCAAAAAGTGTTTAACTTGTGGGTTCAATGAAAGTCTAAAGATCCAACCCAATAGCAATCAAGACCCCCACCCCTCCTTAAATGAGTCACAATCAAAACCCGGTATGAATATAGTCTACCCAGAACCATGCTTCAAGAATTGAAAAGGCGGATATCCGCACCCAATTGTGACACGCGGATTGTCCTTACCTTCCCTTTTACCGTGACTCAATTTGCATTCTGTTTTAAAACTTGTAGGTTCAATGGAAATTGCCCAAAAAGTCTCAAGATCCAACCCAACGGCAATTCTGTAAGTAACCTCCGCCTTACCCCCACCCGTCCTCAAGTGACCCAAATGGAAACCGGGCGCAAGGCTGCCGCACTTCCGCCCTACACGCTCCTCCGCGATGCTGCGGAGGTTCCGCACGGCCTACGGATCGCTCGCCGTGGCCAGCGAGGGCCCTCCCCCCCCCAAAAAAAATGGGGGAGTCTTCGGTGGCCCCTTCGTGGATGGACAAAATCCATGAACCGCACCAGTAGGTGCTTTCCACAGGGGTTCATCTCTCCTAAGTGGTGCGAAATGGATTTCGTCCAACACTATGGCAGGATGTGTGCGGGGCTTCTCAAAATAGTGGTCCCCCAAGAATGGTTGGTCCTCTTTGGTGACCCTTATTATTTGGGTCCAGCACTTTGAGAAACACTCACCTTGGTCCTTGGTGCCTTGTACCTTCGCAGCCAAACCTGGCCGAACTTGAACTTTTGCTGGTCGAAAAGACTATGGGTGTGCTTTTTTGAGGGTACCCCAACCCCTATTGGGTACGAGCCTTTCCTGGGTTGCTTTTGTGGCCAAGGGAAGCCAAAAAGGACCGACCATCTTGTTTGCCTCACTAGACTAAGTGTTTTGCGGTGTTTGTTTTGGATTTTTTTAAAACCGCCCCCTGATCCCTTGCACCTTGGAGGATGTTCTTGGACCCCGCTTGGCTCTTTGCACATTTTGGGGCCTCCCCTGTTGGGATGCTTTGGATGCCCTCAAGTGCTAGGGTGCTAACAGAGTGCGATTGAGGGCTCCGGACTCCGAATTTATATGATTGGCCGCCAAGATCCTGAATAGGTATAACTCGAAGCAATCTTTGCAACTCGCCCCGCTTGGGCAATATACCCAAACCACTACTCCCAAGAAAGAACGGGATATGTTTACGTTTTGTATAGTGGCTCTACAGTGGCTCTGGCTACGTGGTGCCCGCATTTCCACTCAACCTCTGGGGGTACTGAGGTGTTCGGGCAAGCAAGTGGTTGGCCACTTAAGTTACACCTCCCTAACAGGTTCCCCCACCACTTTGAATAACTTATGTGAACAATAACTTGCAGGTGCTCAGCAGGGAATGAGCAATGGAACGACCCCGACAAAAACCATCCAACTGGCGGTCTCCTGTATTCGGGCACCAAAGCCTGGTTCATTCCATTGCTCGTTCCCTGCATATCGCACCAAGATAACCTGGGTTGCCAGGGAAAACCTTATAAGTGAACAATCACCTGGTGGGTTACCAACTAACTAGCAAGGTTTGCCAGTACCAACTACCCCGGGGCTACTGACCTCGGCTACCAACTCCCTGGCCCACCAAAGTGGAACCCACACTCGAGCCTTCCACTTGTTGATGCCCTGGTTCACCGGCTTGCCATACACGATGCCCTTGGCCTCAGAGAAAACGCGCGCCGCGCGGCATGCGCGGCTTCAATTCTTTGGAGGAAACCAATTCGCCATGCGGCATGGGAAGAAAGAGGGCGCAGAGAATGGGCCAAATCATGGGTCTGGCAAAGCACTTGCGATCGCTACGATAACTAGGGAATGAGAAATGGATGAACCCAGGCTTTGATGCCCAAGTACGGGAAAGCACCAGTTGGACGGTTTTTCTCGGGGTCCTTCCATTTCTTATTCCGTGCTGAGCACTGGCAAGTCAGATCTGGAAACTCTCAAACCTCGTGGTCTCCGTTTGGTCAAATCCGGCCAAATGGGGCCTTCCGCCAGCTCATGGGTCTGCCGAAAAAAAGAGAAGTGCCGCTCGGACATTGGTTGGACTGGAAGCTAACATGTTTGCTGGTTGCAAGGGCCGACAACAACAGGGCAGAAGGAAAAAAAGGTGGGAATGAGACATGTCAAGGGGTCCTGGTGTTCGTGTTGCATCTTTTGTTGTCCATTGCCAGCAAGTTGAGATGTCCTGGAACGTCAACCCTCCACATCTTGGTTTCCTGAATGAGTTCTTGAAAGTCAGAATCGTTTGTGGATTTGTCCTGGATGAAAGCTTAACTTCCAGGAATCCTGTAAATGAGGTCATTACCCAAAGAATGGGTCCTGGCCCCTTGTTTCAAGGGTCATGGAGTCTCCAAGCAGCTCTCCAACCCTCTGCAATGTTCGTTTCTGAGTTGTTTGGCTTGGGGCCTAAGACACGGAAAGTCTATGAGATCTTGTTCTGCCTTTGGAAGGTTCAAGGCGCTCAAAAAACTAGCAATCAGCTTCCCCCAAATTGTTGGTTTGGAGGTTGAGGGGGTGGTTTCCATCTACCATCAACAAGTGCCAGGGTTTCAAATCCCCAAACCACCAATCCAAACAACCAATTGAGGGTGAAGCAAGGGTAGCAACCAAAAGGAACTAACCAATTTGGATACCCTCACCACAAGCTTGAGGGCATTCTAGCCGGTTCGGCATGAGGCTCTGGTCACCCCAAAGAGGAACTCCGTTGAACTGGCCCCCTGAAGGGAATGGTTCAAGGGAAACACCCCCAGCTGCTGATATTCATAACCCCCTGAAAGCAGTCACAATAAAGAGACCAGTTGAAAGTTCCTGCGATTTGTTTGTCTAAGGCCAACCCCTTGTGGGCCCGAAGCCATGTTTGGTTCCCCAAAAGAGTTTCGAAGAATTTAAAGCACCGAGAAAAAGAGAAGAAAAAAAAGGCTTCCCGGCGCGCGAAACTCGCGCTGTCAATCAATTGTAACGTGTTTCCATGACATGGATTTGGCGCCATCACCATGTCCCAATGGTCTTTTGGTGGGGGTTCTCCGCATTGTCCCCTTTAGCACCATAGATGACAGTAACTATTGTCAAACCACCCGGGCGCGTTCTTTTGCTCAAGCGTGGTACCCTTGTCTGGCTGGTTCACACAAAGATTGACGCCATTTTGGTCCCCCGTACTGGATGGACAAAATCCTACTCGCCCTTGATGAAACTGTGCTGCATCTTTGGGTTTCGACCCACGTAGGGAACACGGAAGCCCCCCACTTGACCCCCAAAACCCGCCATGGAACCAAACACCTGGACAGGCGAAATCTGGGTCCCCGTGCCACGCGTTTCTTGCGGTCACCCCTCTTCACGCGCACGCGGTAGACGCAGTAGCCCTGCTTCGCCTTGCCCATGAATGGGGGGTGGGGGAACTCCTAAGCCGGAAGCCTTTCTTGGAGGTCTAGAAAGGGAATTGTGCAGGAACAAGTCCTGAGTTTTGGTCTACGTCTTCAAAAAGATCTAGCGGTACGTTTTCAAGCCAAGAAGTGCAACGTCACAAACTGCGCCCATTGATCTTGCCATTTCCAGAAACATGCAAAATAATAAAGTCCTGTGTTGGAAGCGTGCTTTGAAGCTGTTCACAGGAAGCCAAACTGCAACCACCTATTTTGACCGGGGGTCACCTTTTGCAAAACACGGGGGAATGCCGACGAATCAAATGAGGGTGATCCAACTGTGAACATGCATAGCCATGGGATCCTGCAAGTAAGGGATCTAGGCGGCGAATTAACGCGGTCGGTCTCGAATCAAAAACACGAACTTGCAGCTTAAAATATTGAATGATGTTCTACAAAACCTGGCCAAATCACTTTGGCCCCCCAATCAACTCAACTCTACTCACGCCACTGCCGGCTTTTTGCGGGCCTTCTTTTGGTCCTAGTTGTTGACTCATTTTGGTCCTAGTCAGTTGTTGGGCCGGGCCATTTTGGACGTTTTCAGCCCGCCGCCCCTCATTTTAGTCGTACTTTCTGAATCCTTTTCGCCTCAGTCTTCGCTTGTTGGTCGTCGTTACAACACCTGGCCGAGACCCCGTGTTATTCGTCCGGCAGTAGTTTACGGATTTTCTCACGAAATGCACACATTTTACACTAGCTCGTCAACATCCTTGGCTTCTTTCCCAACATCCGCGCTTCTCGCTCCAACACCCCTAGCATCAGTGCTGAATCATCACTTCTTCGAACATCATGATCATGGGGGGGGGGTTGTCCGCTCCCTTTAGCATGTTTGCAGATATTATATAAGGCACTCTTTGTTGAATCATCACCGATGGGCTGCCGCACCAACCCCCCCCCCCCGCCGCTGGCTTTTTGATATCTTGCAGAGATTTATTGAGTCATCGATTTACAAATCGTGGCTTCTTCGAGCATCATGGGTGGGGCTGCCGCCTAAAGCCACGGCCAGCTGGTGAATCACCGCATGATGTTCACTAAGTAATACTTCGGCAAAAACCCGCTGGACTCGGGACTCGACTCCGCGCCTTGTATCCCACCTTGCGAGCTTTGTCTGGGCGCGTGGGCCGCGAGCAACGATGCACCGCGGGCCTTGGCAGGCCAAAAAACGGGCGGTCTCGGGCGGCTTTCCGTTTTCCTGGTGGTTTCCCCTGTGAAAAGGGCATCCAACCGGAGACAAACGCCCGCGTGGTGATTGGCTCCCTGTAAATATCACAGGGGCTGGCGAAGGATTTCCAACCAAATCAAAAGTTGAGACCAATTTGCCGGGTGGAAATCCAGGGAAACGAGACAAAGCCACTTTGGAGGTAAGCCAAAAAGGGAAGTTGCTCGGAAACCCTGAAGGAGTGGTTGCCGTTTTATCAATCAACGCTCGGGTTCATAAATGAGTTTACCCCCTTATTGGGATTCCCTGAAATCCTGAAGGAAAAAAGGGCCAACGAAAGATGTCCAAACTGGTCGTGCACCACTAAAATGGTCTTCCCAAAAAGTTTCAAGTCCAGGACTCAGGAAGTGAGCTCCCCTTGACTCAACCTTTGGATCTTTTGGGAGTTCCAAACACCCGGCGGCTTCCCTCCCGTGTACCCCACTTTGGATGTTACGAGGCTCGGCATGTTCGGTCAGTCTGGCAAGCCAGGCCAAATCAGTGGGGTACGACCAAAACTCTAGTGAACGGTTTGGATGGGGCCAATCTTTTTTGTCACCCCTGTAGAATATTTAACCAGGTCCTCCAGTAGAGAGGTTAGAATAAGGGTACCAACTTTTGTCTGTGGTCTATTTTAGTAGGGGAACCCTCCAAAAAATAAAAGATAAAGGCACTACTGGGGGAAGAAGGACCAACAGGGAGAAACAGGGGAAATCCACAAACCGTGTATCCAAACGGTGGTTTCGAGAAACCCCAAAAAGGTGAACAATGACTGATCCCCAGCTTCAAGTTGAAAAGAAGTACGGTCGTTCAGTGTGTTAAGAAATCTTATTAAACAAGAAACGAGACTCTTGTTGGGCCAGAAAAAAATCCCAGAGTCTCAGAGCCAAAAAAAACACCTGATTTCTGTTCAACTATGCAGTGTGCATCTACCAAACCAACGGGCACCTCTCCGCTACGAACAGATTCATCAAGCACATGCCGGAAATCAGCTCATTCACATAACATATGTGTAAAAGCCAGGAAACGGGCCTGAACCAAGTCTAAACATGTCTGAACCCAGCCTGCGCCCAACCGATTGGGGGACACCGAGTGGCAGGTTTCATTCTGCCATGTTCTGTGCCACAACTTGAGGTGAAGGGTGCGATTGGGTGCAGTTCGGGTGCGACTTGTTTTTCTTGCAAACTGGCTACTAACCTGCATGGCTCGCCCATATCCCGCAATTGACTGATTTGAGACTGGTTTCAGTCTGGTTTCAGGCCATTTTTTTGGCTAAGGGCAACAAAGCGGCTGCACCCTTGATCATGCTGGATTCCCTGAAAATGTACGTGGCCAAGCTAAGACCCCTAGATAATTTGCCACCCAGAGTCTCGGAAAAACTTGAGATTTCTTAACTCCACCATACAATTAAGAAACTTGCGAGACTCTCAGAAGCAAATAGGGATTTCTTGTCACACAACATGACCGTAGCCAACATCAAGCGAATCAAGATCTAGTCCCAAGCCATTTGCCGACTTATCCCCATCTTAAGCAAACACGCCCCACGAACAAGTTAAAAACAACCCATCCCAGCACAAGAGAGAACACCCCCAACAACAAGTGGCAGAATCCTGCCAACCAATACATGAGACAAAACCTATCCCCAACAACAAGTTGAACAATACCCGCGCAAACGCAGCAACACGCTTTAACAAGCGGTGCGTCTTGTGCAATTGATTTGCTTATCATAATATCTACCCTTGTGTTTAAACATGCGGTGGCGTGCTGTGATGTGTCTATTTGTCAACTTATAGTAATCAATATATATATATATATGGGTCAGGGCTCGTGCCCCCCCCCAACCCAATGGTCCTGGTACCCCCCACCCCCCCTGTGGGTGTGGTGCCCCCGCCCCCTTGTGGTTATGGTTCCCCCCTCCCTCCCTGTGGTTATGGTTCCCCCCCTCCCCCTCTGTGGTGTGAGGTGTTGGTTTGGAGGGCAAGTCAGGCTTCGTTGAGGGCTGATTCAGTTTGGATTTAAGGATGCTTTGGGGTATCTCAAGCTTACCTTTGAGTTTCGGTTGTAGCTCAGGATTTTAGGACATTGCTTAGGGTTATTTAAACTGATTATTAGTTTTTTCTTTGGATAGCCGGGGGCTGATTTACAGTGGGTTTAGGGATCCTTTGGGTCTTTGCTGGGTTGAGCATGTAGGTTTTTTCTGAGTTAATTATCTTAGGCTTCATGTCAATTAGATTTAGGGCCAGCTTAAGGTTGTCCTGCGGTTCAAGTCAAGCTGGATTGGGGATGGTGTATGACTTTTAGGGTTGGGATGGTTGACGGGCAAGGGGTGGTTGTTGACAGGATTGCAGTACAAAGCCACGCTGGAGTTTGGAGGGGTCCAAAACGAGAAATGAGGGACCCGGGGCGGTGGGGGGGCAGGAGAGAGGGCAGGCCGGGGCCGGGGAGGGGGGGGCTGGGAACCCTGGACACTGACCCATATATATATATATGTATATATATATATATATATTTGTATGGTACAGCGTTGCCAGCCCCCCCCCCAATGGTCATGGGTCAGACAAGTACCCCCCCCCTGTGGTTGTGGTCCTGTGGTTGGGTTGTGGTGGTTTAGGGTTGGTTTAGGGTTGGTTTAGGGTTGGTTTATGTTGATTTAGGATTGGTGTAGGGTTGGTTTAGGTTTAGAGGTTTACGGTTTAGGGTTTGGTTTAGGGTGTTTAGGGTGTTTAGGGTTGGTTTGTGTGTTGGTTGCGGGTTGCCTTGCGGGGGGGGTGGGACCGCAGGTGCCAGGATCCGGGGCTCGGGGTCTCGGGCCGTGGGGGGGGGGGGGGTCCTGGGGGACCCTACCCTCTGGTCGGGGAGGGGGGGGGGGGGGTTAGCAACACGGAACACGGGACAACATATATTTGTTTGTGTGTGTGTGTGTGTGTTTGTGTTTGTTTACACACACACACCGTGTTTTTGTGTGCCTGCATATTTCTGTTGGTTAAGTGAACAAAATCAATGCAAATATATATATATATATGTCTATTTGTCTATATTGTTATGTATACATATATGGTTTGATTATCTAGTTGTGCAAATATGAATGTACAATGTACATGCATACAATCTATCCACATGACCTTTCAGTGATGTCCTTATACATATATATATATATATATATGTACACACGCACATGATATACATGTGTACATATTGTGTCTAGATTTGTGTGTAGAAAAAAAACAGGAACAAAAAAACAATATGTTGCATTATATATTTTTGTTTTTTACAAAGAGTATACGTGCATATTTTCATCTGCGTCAGGCGGCCCGTTGTCTCCTTGCCCCGTTTTTGTCGAGCGGCAGCTGTCGGAACTCCCAGTTCCGCAGCCGGGCCAAGAAGCGCATCACATCCTCGCTGGACGGTTTCGGTTTCGTCAAAACGTCGGGCCCCCCGAACTGTGCTTTTGTGTTCTCGGTGGCGAAATCTGCGAAGCCCTGCCAAAAGTGACTAACTTTTAGTGGCTTAATACGGAAAACCCGGTAGTTGGCAAAAAGTTAAAGTCCTAACATCCCTTGGCAAAATGCACCAAAGTGTTGGTTTCCAAGGGACTCTATCAGTTTCCCTTGGCAGGGGCGATGTGTAGAGGGAAATACTGAGGATGGTGACACGAAATCTGGAAATCGATTTCACCACCCTTCAGAAAGACTGGTTGCTGATGATTCTGTAGATGGCAACAATATGGGTTCAACCATGGTCCCATGGTGCAGGACTTTGCCCATCAGTATGTTGGGAACCCAAAAGTTCTTGAAACCAGATGGGCAGCAAACACCCAATTCGATGGATCTGTCTTTATCAACCCAACCTGGGTTGGTCTTGATTAGAGCCCTATCCACTTTTTGCTGGTGAGTGCGGTAAATAGTCCTTCTCCAACCGGTTACATCCCTACAAAGTGACCTGAAACCCAAGAACGCGGTTCTTCATTTTCTCTACAAATGATGACCTTTGGATTCAGGTCAGTCATAAGTATATCATCGCGCACGGGCGGCTCGTCTCTCGAATCTCTCGGTTCTGGGGCAGCGCGCGGACTGCTTCTTGCGCCACATCTCCTCCAGGTACTTGTAGGCCCCCATGATGCCTGCGCCGCAAGGGGTGTCTTAGTTGGAAGGTACCCTGTTTGGATGGTTTCAAAGGGACACCAACAAGGACACCACGTGCTTCAGGGGTTCCAAATCCTATTTCGAAACCTTTTGGGGGTCCGACTGAGGTACCTTCCCTCCGAGAAGTCCCTAAAAGCATACCAAGGCCTAAGGTACTCAAAAATGACTTAAGGAAAAAAAAAACAAAAACGTCAGGATCGGCCTCCCTCAAGACCCAATCCGAAATCTCCCTCTGGTTTTCAAAGGCCTTGCTGACGAAATCACCACTTCTGGGATAGACGAAGCCCTAGAATGATATAGGCCACGCAACTGGTGCGCAGTGGATATTTGTCCATCCAACAGCAAGGCCTGAAAACCTACTAGCCCCATTGTTTGTTACCACTATCAAAGCACCCAAGTGCCCAGAAACAGAATCCAAGTCCTGACCCCAGTTACTGACCGGGGCTTTTCCGGCAGTGGGGGAAATCCTATGGACCGCAATGAGTGTGGTGTTGCCGAATTGACTCGTGTCTGACCCAAACTACCTGAACGCCTTTTGTGGCCACATGACACGCAGATTCCCATGGAGTGAATCGCAGGATGAGAAAAATATGCCCTCGCACCCCTCGAGTGCGAGGCTATCAGATCTAAGCGAGAGCGTTCGGAGCCTAGAAGCCAGGCACCTAATGGATCAGAGGCCCTTCCACCGGGCCGCAGATTTTGTTACCGCAAAAAGGAGGCGACAAGTCTGCAACCCCTGAGACGTCGGGCGCCACGTTCTGCCATCAGCGACTTATCTCCAAAGGCGTCACCCGGGTCGAAAGAATTCAGTCGGTAAAAGTTCGAGAAGTCTCCCTGTGAGGTTGCTGTTTGCCCAGCGAAATCCTTCCAAAAGGCTCCA